AAGTCATAGGCTTCTTATCTATATATGTATATAGTATAATAGTACAAATATGCAATATTTAATTTTCAAACCGAGTTATATCAAAATCGTGTAAAAAAGACCGTGTTAAAACAGAATTAGATGTAGTATACAAGTAGTTTCCTTCCCCTTTATCGTCAATAAAATATTTTATGTCAATGGCTTTCGATCCGTAGCGTTAGCCAAGTTGAACATAAACAAGTTTTCGGCTACAGACAAAACAGACAAAATAGTTAATATAAATTTGTTTGTGAAAATTCAACTACTATAGCACACAATTCCAAATTAATAGTTTTTGGTGCAGAGCGCAAAAATGAGCAAATCTTACAACCATGACATTATAAAGCATCAGCTGGAGGAGAGTGTACAAGCCGAAAGAGTCTTGAGTGGGGCTCCGACTGCGGGACGCTATGTGCTATATGTGTCTGAAAATCCGAAGAAGCGTGTTGAGGTAGATGTCGTCGAGAAATCACCACGAGACATGAAGAGCGAAGGAGAATTTGGTAAAGAGCTGATATTGAAGCCAAAAAATAAACGTCCTTCCCGAAAGGAGGAACGGATGTCATCCTCCACGAACGGTTTAAAAGGTTCTCCGACGCGCGATGTGGTGGCCATTAATAGTCGATTGCCATTGATAACATCAAAGCTTATAGATCCACCCAATTGGGTCCGGGTAAGACCGCCAAATACGCCGGGCAGAGTGCGTACAGGGCGCAACCTTGGGATCTGTGTTAATATCAAGCGAGGCACGACTCTGAGCTGTCAGGAGGGAGAGGTTCTGGAGGACCATCCCGCTGGCGATTCACTTATAAGCCAAAACTCACAAGACGCCGACTCACAAGTAACCGAAAACATTTGTAAAAGTCTAGTAAGCTCACAGCCGGCTCGTAAAGTTCCTAATCGTAAGGCTAGTAATCGCTGCTATGCTATTTGTAAGGCTCCAATTCTCTCCGAAGGCAATCGTACAACAAAAGATCTACTGCCCTCCAAGACAGTTTCTGAAGCTCCTGCGATCTCCGGAATCAAAGGTTCTAGGCCATTATCGCCTTATCCCGCATCGCAAATGCTGGAAGACACCTCTGACAGCGAGGAAGATACATCTCTAGATACATCTTTGCATTTGAAAACCAGATACGAGACATCCTTTCTGGTAAAACCAGAGCAATGCGGCAGCTTGCGATTTAGCAGAAGCGAAATAGAGCGCAACAGCACCCAACCATATAAAAAACTATCGCGGCGAATGGACAAGACCATTGAGACTCGCCAGTGTCGGAAAACGCTTGAACTTGGTGTTAAAAATGCCAGTTTAGATTTTCAGACGCTGCGTACAAAGGAGTCCCCGAAAGCGTCCAGCGACAGGAAGGCACCATTGAACTCCTGTGGAAAATGCGACAGGTCCAATCAGACACCTCCCTTCAAGCGTTTCAGCTTCCGTTCAGAAAATGCTGTCGATTCTAAAATCACGCGTGCAAGGAATTTCTACAACAGTGGCAACGAAGCCGATGATGAAGAGGGTGAACACCATAAGGACGTTACAAATAAGAGAAAACAGGAACAGGGCAGCAGAAGCGGTCAGAAATATCGGAGCGAGAATGTCAAAAAAGACAGCACATATCATAAAAGTCACGAACAAGACAAGAAGGAGCAGCAAGTGAGCAAAGAGAAAACCAAAACAGAATGCACAAAGTGTGCCGCTCAAGGATGTAGAATGCGCAGTAAGGGTAATGCGCAAGAACTTGCCGTAAATAGCAAAAACGAACAAAAAGAGAGTAAGGAGAAAGAATGCCAAGAAGACGCTAAACACAACGAAAGCATGGAGAAAACCAAAACAGAATTCAGAAAGAGTCCCGCTGAAGGATGTAAGTTGCGCAAACACGAACAAAAAGAGAAAACAGAGAATGAAGGCAAAGAGGACGTTCATGAAGAACGCAACGATAATGAAGAGCACTGCGAAAATGAAGAGCAAGAAGGCGACGAGCAGAGCAAACCAGAAGAGTGCGGAGAAGAAGACAACAAAATAGAGCGTAAAGAAGTGAAGCTACAGAGAAAAGAGGAAATGAAAGCCAGACTGCTGAAATACTTTCGTCAACTGCAGATTGAAAAGCAATGGGACGAGATGGAGAAGCAGGCCAACGAGCTCACGCTTCAAAATCTGTTCGGAGAGAAGGCACGTGAGCGTTTTACCGACCATATGGGCCGCAGCCTATATAATACTCTGACCAACGTAATCAATATGGAGGCTCAAGATGTTTTGCGATCATGCCTGCAGTTCTGCCTGCACAAGATCAATAACTTCTTCAATGATGGCAATGGGACGCCCCTACATCCTCTTCAATACAATAGTGAAAAGGACATCTGGCCCACAATGCTGGGACCATGCTATGATGAGCCCATTGTGATGCTAGTGGATCGTATTTTGTATGGAGCCAATTGGCTTGTTGGGGATCGGCTGCAAAGCCACTTCGAAGACGAAAAGAATGAGCGGGCAGAGGTAAAGAAGATCTTAATAGAGAAGCTTCGAGAGTTATTGGCCGAGCGACAGCGACAATTGAAGAAAACCCATCCCTTCGATGGCGACACAGCTCGTGGCACCTACATGATCACCCAAAGCAATCCCATCCAAAGTAAACGTTACTCCTGAATCCAAACAAAAAAACCTACAACAAATTGATGAAATAGTCAACAGAAAGTTGAAAGTAGTTCCGGGAAGCACAAAAGTTCGGATGAACGAACTCAAATAATATGAACTATTTGCACTTACCTTGAAACCAGCCATCGTTACCGCCGGGTTTAGCTCGATGTTGATGTTATTTGGTTCCATGATGAGACCCAGACTCTGCAAATTGCACGCCTGGGGCATCTGCATGGTGGGCGTGGGCACCTTAAGAACCGCAACGGTGCAATCGATGCTGCTCGCGCTCACCGTCGCCGTAGCGGGTAGAGTTTCTGGCATCGCGTTGTCTGTGTTCAGGCTTACGGGCGGCGGCGAGCCGTGGAAACGACAAAACGAACTGCAAAGAAGCGAGCGAAAAGAAGGCAAATCAGAACCGGACTCCTTATTTTTTAATTTGAAATAATATAATATTTCGGACCACACAACATAAGATCGATCTATTCCGAGGCACTTTTAAATATTTTATTTGTAATTTATAAAATAAAATGTGAAGTATAAGCTCAATCGGGTATATCCCTGAAACCTACCTCTTCCTGGACCATATCAAAAACTGTGCAATTGGAAAAAATATCTGGACTGCAATAGCATTGCCTGCCGGTTTGTTATAGCCTATACCTGAAGGTACAAAGATATACTCGTATATGGTTTGCGAAAAGTAAAAAATGTAACCGGCAGTAGGAAGCCTTTATCCCTTGGCAGAGATCACACAGTGTATACTATATTCTTGATCAGCATGAGAATACGAGTCGATTTAGCCATGTCTGTCTGTCCGACTGTATGAACAGCTGGATCTCGAAGGCTATAAGAGCTAGAGACACAAAATTTCACATATATGTAGATGCTTTGTATGTGTACGACGTGCAAGTTTATTTTTTCTGAGGCACCCATTTACTCCTTCGTTATTAGTGATCTTCCATTACTCAATAAGTTGAAGCACCTATATCCCAGAGACTATAAGAGCTACAAACGCTAGAAATTGTACACATCCTTAAAGGGAGATTGAGTACCGATCCCTTTTTTTTTTTTACACCCTGTACCCGTAGGGTATATTAGTTTTGTGCAAAGTATGTAACATGCAGAAGGAAGCATCTCCGACCCCATAAAGTATATTCTGAATCAGCATGACGAGAGAAATCGATCTAGACATGTCCGTCCGTCCGTCCGTCTGGATGAACGCAAGGATCTCAGAAACTATAAAAGCTAGAATAACCAAAGTTGGCATCCAGATTCTCCTAGGTCCGAGAAAGGACGAGTTTATTTTATTTTTTGGAATTTTCCCCCGCTACAGAATTTCGTCAATAGCGTCCACATTTCAAGTGCTACCTAAACCAAACTTTGCACACATCATATATTAATATATATCTACTGTTGTTTAAAATTTTATTTAATTCGGTCAATTCTAAGAAAAGTTATTAGCGAAACAAATTCTCGCCAGTACAACCCCCACAAACTGCAGCAACAAGTTCGCTCTTCTTCTTCCTCTTTTTGCTGCTGCTTTGGGCGCATATAACTCAGTGACGGAAGTTTACCTGGGTACAGGGTATTACACTGTCGGGCTTGCTCGAATGTAGCGTTCTCTCTTGTTTTATATATAATAATTATACATATACTCGTACGTACAGGGTATTTCAAAGTCGGGCCTCGAATTATAGCTTGACAATGCTGTATAGTAAAAACCTAAGATGTAGCTCAATAAATCGGACTTTCTTAATAGTACTCTATCTAACCTTGTGAAGATTGAAATGCCCTTCTTTATCTACTTTTTATCTGAGCTGACCTACGTTACAAGAGGTATCTGCGCATTATAAGTCTTAACATAACCCACAATATATGTATACACATAAATATATTACAATAATTTGAAAATAGCCTTATTTATGTGTATGATCCAAAAAGATACAACTAGATCGCCTAATCCGATGGATTTACAACCTGTCCAAAGTACAGCACCTATTAAGTTCCCTTAAAGTGATGTATATGGTTTTTAAAACGTAGAACTCGAAGGGTTTTAGAGTATTACGAAAAAAGGTAAGCACTGGTCAAGTTTAGTTAGATATGTCCCCCTGCCCCCTGTTGGTCAGTCTGTATAAACGCTTATTTAGGGGTTCAAGTCAAGAAAATTGGAATGTATTGGTGCTACATTTGAGAGTTTCTCTTAAACAATTGCAAACGACATAGCCAGAAAAATGCTTTATATGTTTATATATATTCACGAACTTCCAAGTAGATATCATTCTTGGATGTAAGCATTTATTGTTTTTGTTTCTAAAAACTTATATATAAGATAAATATTGAAACAACTTTGTACTCTCGTTTCATTTTGCTAAATGCGCATGCAGTTTATTTTTAGTCTCCAGTTTTGGTATAAGTTGTCTAAACTTATTCCTACAATTACTTGGTAAATTACATAATTAGTAGCACATGTGTCTGTTGGCAAACAAACAAAAGGAGCGAGAACATATGATCATCATTGAAAAAAAATGCGTTTATAAATTAGTTAGGATCGATCCAGGACTGTGTGTCATCGCCGCCTTCTACGCTGACGACGATAGACGCTTGCGTATTTCGGTGGCCAGATCTGCGAGTGGCACAGTGGCTTCCTGTCTCGTGCTAACCTCACGCAACTTAACCACTCCTTGGGACAATTCCGCGTCTCCTAGTACAACAGCCAATGGTATTTGGTGCTCCTCGCAGTGCTGCAACTGCACCAGCAGCTTGGGATTGAGTTTAAATGAATGCTCGGCCTGGTGAATGGAAGAAGAAAGTAGATAAGTAATTGATGGCTATTGTTATCGGCTTAGAATTTAATATTGCGCTAATTGGAATAGATTGTGAATTCTTGAATTCTGCTTGCTTGCCTTTCAAAATGTGCAACAAGGCTCGGAATGGCGCAATAAATGACAATTAGATGGACACACAAACATAATTCGATTTCTACCATTAATTACTTAATGAATTAGGGTCTGCGAATAAAGGAACATCCCATCGCATGAGTAGGTCCGTCTGTGCCGACTCAATGAACACTATCGATCGATCAGTTCTATTTTAAACTGTGCCCTTAACGATTGAATGTTTACATTTCTCGGTAGAATTTCTGGGTCATGTATATAACGTAATTGTTGTGAAGTGTTACCTTAATACCCTGATCCCACAACTGATTGATGATGCGTAATCGTTGCTCATGAAGGCCTTTGTGTGCCGATGCCACATAGACTTCAACATCGTTTGTGCGCAATTTCAGGCCACTTGCCGCATACTTGGCCTCCAGCACGGAAAATATGCGCTCGACACCAATGGAGACGCCTACACAGGGCACAGCCTTGCCGCGTGGATCGAACATGCCCACCAGATTATCGTAACGTCCGCCGCCAGCCACGGAACCCACAGTGCCCTGCTCTGCATCGACAGCAGCATCTGCGCTACCATTTTGCAATTTAACAGGGGAGGAGGAGGTAGGATCGGCCTTTAACACGCATTCGTAGATGACACCCGTATAGTAGTCCAGACCACGGGCCAGGCTTAAATCAAAGCTAACACGCTGGTCCAGACCAAAAAGCGAGCAATACTTCAGCAGCAACTGCATGCCCTGTAATCCCTGAAGTGCATTGGGTACAACCTTTAGCTTGGGATCGGCTAGCAGTTGCTCCACCAGCTGCGAACCGCCATTCAGGCGCACATATTCGCCAATTCTGTCCGCCGTGGCGTCGTCGAGACCTTTTTCCTCAATCATTTCCTTGCGCACATCTGCCCACGGGGACTAAAATATAAAGAAAAGAACAACTGTGAATTTTCAACGAAGCCAAAGAATTGGTATCAGAAAAAATAAAAAATAAATTAACAATACAGTTACTGTTTCTAATGTTCGCCTTCATTTATCAAGTGCTAGAGTTATTTTTGTTCCTGTTTTAACTTTTAATTGCGACTTATAATTTTAACCGAAGAGCAAAAAATATAGGAATGTCTACACATTCAACATTTGAATAGAACTGCTAGTCCACCGGATTCGAATCAAGTGTACTTATGAGTACTGAGATTGTTCTCTTAAAAATAGATCGGAAATAGCGCTAATTAGAATTAAACTGTGAAAGAGAATAGATTGTGTGTGTGGTCGAGGATTTATGATAGTGCGAGGCAAGATCGCATCACGAAGGAACATTTGATACTTCATTTTCTGTAATCTGCACTTCTAACGATTCTAAAATTGATGTCTGCAAATGTTTGCGGAAAATTTGTTTGTAGTGTGGAAGAGATTCGGGAAACTCCCGAATACAGCTAAGCCCCATTTAATATCTTCGATTGATGCCTCCCTGCCTATCTTTCTTTCTTTCTTTGATTCTATCTCTCTCTTTCTGTCTGTCTATCCCATTACGTACCTTATCCAGCTTATCCACCGCTGAGCAAATAGTGCGGAATTTGTCCACAGGAACTCCACAAGCCTCAAACATGCCATCCAGAAGCTGCCGATGATTCAGCTTAATCACATAATCGCCGATATCGAGTGTGTCCAGCACTTCGGAGACAATTTTCACACATTCCGCATCCGCCAGCATTGGATCATAGCTGCCGGCAATATCGAAATCACACTGATAGAACTCCCGATAGCGACCGCGTGTCATGGCCGGATTATCGCGCCTGTAGACCTTGGCTATGTGATACCGTTTGATGCTCGATATTTTGTTCATCGCCAAATAGCGTGCCAATGGAACCGTCAAGTCGTAGCGCATTGATAGTATTTCGCCACCTTGATCTTTCAGATCATAGATGAGCTTTGAGTCCTCCCCGTATTTGCCCATAAGTACTTCCTTTAAATCGTGAACAAATATATGATTAGCATATGCTTTTGTTCCAAACTCCTCTGTCTTTACACTTACCTTTAATTCAAAGACGGGCGTATCGATGGCCTCTCCCCCGTGGCGCTTGAAGACCTGCACAATCTTATCCAGCACTCCCTGCCGTAATGTCATCTGCTGTGGCGCATAGTCCCGTGTACCTTTGGGGGTTTTGAGCGTAAACTTTTGTGTCGCCGCTGGTGGATCGCCGCCAAGCTTGGCTTTCAACGCCAATAGACGCGACACTTCCTCATCAATCTGTAAGATAGAAAGCATATAGATGGTTTTTTTTTTGAAGTGTTTTTCCAGTCTATTGTCGGGATTGGTTTTGGTGCTGCTTAGATGCTAACCTTATGCAATTGTTGTTGTATTTCATGTTGTTGTTGTTGTTCTTGTGCTTTCAATTCATGTTGTTGCTGTTGTCCAACAGCGGCTGTGGTTGTTGATATGGACGATTTGCAGCCGAGGAGCGCACCACCTGACGCCACCAGCACATTTCGGCGCTGTTTCTCGCTTGGACACTGAAACGCAGCACTACGACAGTGGCGGCCAATAGAACGCAACATTTTTGTTTTGTTTCTTAGTTTTCTATGATTCGATGTTTCTGATCTTTCTTTTTCTCTATAAAGTTTTTAATTCTCTCTCTCCCTCTCTCTCTCTTTTTTGATAGCTCAAACCTAATAAACAACAACAACAATAATGAAACTTATTAAAGCTAAATTGTCTGTATTTTTATTGTTGCTAATAATGTATTCATGTATGTATGTATGTTTGCACGGTAGGGTAGTTATGTATAGTTTGTGGGTAAATGTAATGGGTATGTAATGTGTGCTAACAAAATACATAATTAAGGTTACTAATTAAATTAAATGAAATGAAACATAGCCGTTTGTGTTAATGAAACCAAAATCGTGTCGTTAGTGTTGTGCAGTTAAGTTAATAAACAAAAGGCAGCGAGCTACAAGAAATTAGAAGAGCGAAAACGAAACTGCTAATCATACGAAAAACTTGCGTTCCATTAACCGCCTCCTACCGAATGCTTTTTCATTACTTTTTATAACACTTGGCACTTTTTAAACACTGAAAAATCACTTGCAAGCTGCAACAGGAAAAATGCAACACGAGGGCGTTGCCACCTGCCACCAGCCAGAGTTCAAGGACAACGGCAACGAGTGACGTAAATCAATCAAACGACTAACGGCAACTTATCGTGTACATGCAGGGCACCCACGCAGGAGGCTGTCACAGCCTGTTTAACAGGCTGGCAACTCTGTTGCACCGCACCGGCAACAACCTGTGCAACAGCTGATCACTAACCCGTTTAAACTTGAGCTCTGAAAACGCAGTCAACTCAACGCTTGAAAGTCAAACAACACATACAATACATACTACATAAGTGACTCGGACATTAACATTTCATTTTTCTTTTCATTATTACACTCGCAACACACTCACACAGCTGCTTGTAACAAAAATTATTGCTCGACCCCTCTTGCCCGCCCTGACCGACGATCAGTAATGTGGCCACGAAGTCTTTAAAATTTGCCAGGCCGGTTTTTTTTAATACCAAGGCTCTCGCATGCTCGGCAAATTTGTAATAACCACCATGTGGCAGCCACCATGGCATCGGCACCAGCCAGCCAGTCAGTCGGTCAGCATTACGGCCATATTGAATGACAACAGTATTAACAACAACAGCAACAGCACAATATAACGAACAATGAAAAACAGTGAAGGTTGCATTGCTCGGGCTCAATGCACCGAAACTTGCATGCTCTTTAAAAGAAATTATAGCGAGGATTACAGATAGTATTAAAGAAAAAGGGGTAGCTTACTTGTTTCAGAAACCTACTTCAAGTAAATACTATTTTTTATGATATATCAGATGTTATTATTATTTTATGATATATCAGATGTATACAGAAATATATGTTAAAACAAGAAACCATGAAATCGGGAAACTATCGACAGTACCAGGCATTATTTAATTAAAAGCCAAGCACAGATCTTCATGATCCCATTTACTTATTTGTAAAAGCAAGAAGAAATGTATTACTACTCCATTAACAACTTTAATAAATTTCCATGCTTCTTTTATAATAAATAGAATTCGATAAGACATAATACTTTATCTATATACTCGCATTTAAATAAAAGAAAAGCGGTATATTCCAAATGACACTACAAAACGATAAGACGAGTTAGTATACTTTGGTTTTTCGTGAGAATACTGTTAGCAAAATGGACTGTACTCAGTTCTTTACTGAGGAATGGAGATAAAAGTCGATCGCCAAATTAAAGACATATTAAAGTTATATTAAGATCAAGCTTACTATCAACGTTTTGTTTTTGGTTCAAAAGTTTGATTGAAATCTTTACACTAGATTAGAGAAACGATTATAATTGAAGGAGTGCGAAGCAGAAAGAGTCGGTTGCAGGGTGTACAAGAGTCGGGCTGGCGCGACTTCAGCGCTCTACACGTTTTTTAATGTTGTATGTAGCTAGCGCAACATTCTCTCCCGCATAGAGTAAAAAGGGGGCCAATATAAAGCGAATGGGGCATATAGAGCGAAGCGCTCAGCTGTTGTTGAAAGCGCGTGTGTGCGAGTAAGTGAGCAGGTTCAAAGACTCTAGTATGTGCGTCTGTGTGTGTGTGTGTGCGTTAGTGAGTAACGTTGTTATTGTTGCTGTTGTTGCATGCCAGTGGCAGTGGGCAAAAGCTGTGATTTACTTGATGACTGACACACTGACTATGTACCAACACACAAACATACATGCATATGCATGTGTATATTCACAGTTCGACAGCAGCAGCAACAGCAGCAGCAGCCGAAAGAAAAACAATCGCAATACACAAATGTGAAAGTACGTGCGGTCCACATACTTGTTGGTTTTGTTGCTGTCTGCCATCGAAATTGGCATTTGTGTGCTTCGCTTGCTGTTGTGTTGTGTTGTTTGTGTTTCCCTGTGCACATGCAATCTAATTACTGAAAAATTCAATAATGAAAATGCCAACGCAGCAAAGCTAGCAATGCCGTAATTGCAGTCCAAGACTGTATGTAGTTTGAGATTGCCTGCCTGCCTACCTGTCTGTGTGTCTGTCTGACTGTTGTCCGCCTGCCTGTGCATTAAGTGAGTCAGCGCGCCAATGTGGCATGTGTGTGTATGTGTGTGTGTGTGATGGTGTTGGTGTACGAGTATGCTGATGAAACTCTCAATTAAAATTACATACACATGTACTTACATATATGTATTTCTTTGCATTTTGTACATGCAAGAGAGAAAAAAGGTTAAACAGGGTTTGGGTTGACCATGGAATGGGATCGAACTCTAATTGTGAAGCTGACAATGCTGATGATGAAATCGGGTAGCAACATAAAGCGTGACAGTAAGGCAGCTGTTACACATACATATACATACATACATACAACAAGCTAAATACACTTTTATAATACAAAACAACAACCGTGCACGTACATAACGTGTATGTATGTTTGTATGCACATACACACTGCAACTTATTTAACAGTTTTTTTCTTTCTTCTCTTAGTACTGTGTTTGTGTGTGTATGCACAGATTGCACATGCACTGACCTTCTCTTTGGACTCCTTGGCGGCTTTCAATTGACGCACGAGATCGCCTTGCACTTTAATTAATTCCAGAATTTGTTCACGCGTATCACTCATATTCCAACGCACATCCAATGTCACCAAGAAGCAATAAAAAAAATTGTACCACAATACGGAAACTAAGCAGCAGAAACCTTGCTGAGCACACGCACTATACAGTTACAGATACACGCGCACTTGGTCGTTGTCGAAAAAAAACGTGAGCCTGACGCGCGCGCAATTTGCTTTTTTTCGATGCACAATGAACTGCAATTGAAGTCGCTGGATTTGGCTCAACTTTATTTTTGGCTGAACGAACACACACAGTTTTTCTGGCAGTTTGGTTTTTATATGCCAGCAGCCAGCCGTAATTCCAATTGGAAGGGTTACAAATACATCGATATGTGGCAGCGATACCGATGTTGAGTACCCAACCGCGTGCTTGTGCATCGATGCCGCCAGCGCGTATTCAACACTGTTCACACAGCTCCATCTGTCGGCTAATGGGTGTACTACAGCAATTGCGGTGCTGGAAGACGCAATGCACAGCTGTTGAAATTTCAAATTTGTTCATACAAAGAGCACGCTTTTCAACACTTGCTCTTGTTCTTTTTTTTGTTTTGTTTAGTTTGGATTGCAGGACCAACATGTCAGTTTATTTTGTAATTTTTGTTCAATAAATCACACGCAGAGAAGCAAAAAATTAAACAAAACCAAAAAAATTAACACATAGTGGAACTTTGTTGGCCGCAAGGTTCAGTATAAATACACACACACACACACACAGAGAATTCAGAATCAGTAAAAATGAATATGAAACGAAACACAAGCAAACTTCATCAGCAGAATTATGCGAAGCGCCAACGCGAGGCCCGCAGCGCGTACAATGAATACACTGGAGTCACTCTGGATCACAGCATGGATGATACGAACAAGGCTGTCGATGTGGCGAATGAAAATATTGCACGCAAATTATCTTTTTTGACGGAGGCGAGTCACATGTCGCGACCGGCGCGTGGTTTGCCTCGGCGTCGCGGTCCTGTGGGGGCCACGAATGCGGTTGGTGGTGGCGGTGGCGGCGGCGGCGGTAGCGGCGGCTATATACGCCATCGGCGCGGTCACAACCACAACAACAACAACAGCAACAAAGTGACCCTAGATGAACTGGGCACGGCACGCGACTCGCGACATCGTCTCAAAAGCGGCTATAATGGTAAGAACAATAATCCCTGATCCAGATTTGTATGTTCGTATGTATCTAAGCGACCGCTCAATTATTTCCATTTCCAATAAGTCTTACACTTTCCGTCCACGTGATAAGACTTGTGCCTAACAATGAGCCATTGATGGGTTTGAATATGTAGTTGGAGAATAGATTTAACTACGATCGGTTAGTTTCTCCACTAAATAAATATAATAGTAATATAATATATATAAGCTAAATATAGCTTTTAGGCAATTAAAACAAACTTCTGCAAAAGTAGTAACGCGTAAGTCTTTAAATAGGCCAATTCTTTATTCTTTTATCATTTATTACCCATATCGCTCCGGAAAGTTTGTACATTTTCTTCAAATACGATGTTGTTACAGCGTTCATGATGCAAAGGTCTACTACGGTTTGGTATTGGAAAGCGCTCTCCTCTTACTCTTACTGGGCAGGTACCAGAATTTCTTGTGGGAAATAGAAGTAAAAAAAAATAATTGACGGCTAGGCTAGAAGGCGCATGAATAACATCTTGCTCTCCCTCCAATAGCAAACTCTTGCTAGCCCTAAAGAGTGGCAGTGTAATCATTGTGCGAATGCCATACTGTGTTAGACCTTTGTGCCATGATCCGAGTCTTTATCTGTTTGCCTAACCTGCTCCAACCGCTTCCTAGTCTATCTAGACTCACCGCGTCGCAATGGCCTCACGCCACGCGCCTCCCAAATGCAGGAGGAGCAAGCAGAAGCGGCCCTAGCTGCCATATCCGGAGGCGGCAACAAGCAGCGACAACATGACACATTAAAGACGACACAACTCTTTGGACGTCCGAGCGCCGGACAAATGCTCAATGCCAAGCCCCTCAATACGTATGTCCACGAGCATAGTCCGGTATATAGCTGCAGTTTGTGCGGCGCCAAGTTTCAGATCAAATCGCTGCTGGGCGCCCACCGACGCACCCACGACGATGACTTCAAGGTGCGTTTCAAGGCCCGGCGCAAGCGTGGCAGCAGTACAGTGGCGTCCCTGCCGGCGGGCAATCAGTGTAAATACTGCGATCGCAAGTTCGACTTGGAGCGCACCCTACACATACATCAGTTGTGCCACTGCAAGAAAATTCCGCCTCAGCAGCGCCGCAAATTAGGCTACACGGAGCTGTTGCACGAAAAGAAGGCGCCGCTGCCTTCCTTTCAGCGCCAAGGGGGCGGGGCCCTTAACCATGCGACCCTCGGAGCTCATGCCATCAGGCAGCAGCAGGAGCAGCACAACTTTGTCAAGACGGTGGTCGCCAATTGTGCACCCGTGGAACGCTGGCGCTGAGCAAGGCGCAACCTCAGACACACAAAAACTATCCCTGTCCCCCAGACATTTGCTTTCTCTTTGTAACTTGGAGAGCTTGGAGGATGACTTGAATGTCCTGCTTCGAAATTTTTGCGTTTTCGTAAAGGGCGCTGAACAGTTGCGCGCGACGTGTACACTTTTTTCCAAGGCGTCCTCGTTTCTGTGAATTTCTAAATTAGTCAAGTCTAAAAATCAAGTATTCGGCCACTGGCCCCAAACTAAATTATTGTCGTACGAATATAGAGAAGAACCCCATTAATAATGAATAAAACGATTCAATATGCAGCAGAAAAAAAATGGTATGCTAATTAAGATGCTGAGAATCCTTTGTACTTCCCCTTCTCCACAAACACAGCCCAACAAAATCGATGATGCAGCCTTAAGTTTTCATAAGCATTCTCGAAAACTGCAGTCATATGTATATGTAATATGTACTATATGCCACGTATTTGTCCGATTTTGAAAGGCAATACGTAATTGGGAAGGCAATGCACGCAGCCTCAAAATTATTATTCAACCTTGTTCTTTTGATTAAACACTTAACAGTTTTGTGCTTTGATTTTCTTTTTTGCCGGGGAAGGTTTTTTTTTTATAGAAGTATATGAGGAAAACCTTCACCTACCTGTATAAGTTACTAAACGTAATATTCAGCTTTTTCTAATGACTGGCGGGTATACTTGTATACCAGTTTCTGAATCGTTTTAGGCAGTGTACAAATTGTTTAAAAATAGATTTTTTTAAAAAGAAAGCCAGCACATCTGGAAAGCGTGGTCAATTTTTCGAAACAAGTAGGCCGGCTTACAACTACAAGTATGATTTTCTCGTTGGCCTGTTTTCCGCTTGAATAGATCTGTCCATTTAAAAATTGATTCATCCCGAATACTATTAGGTTTGTGCAAAGACCGTCCGACAGTCTGGACTTTAGAAACGACTGAGCTGGAAACATTGACAAAACTTGGTATGTAGACTCTCCTAAACCCTAGAAAACACAAGATTATTTTTATTTTTTATGCATACCCGGGCTAGAGCAACGTGACAAGAAAAAAGTCAACCTTTATTGGAAGAAACTAGTTGTCCTGTTTTTCTGTCCTTTTCCAATTTTTCTAACCCTTTTTTACGCTTTTTGTATGTCTCTTTGTTCTTATTTTTTGGCGAGTAGCTGGCAACACTATTTCGTATCCACGTTAGATACTAAGCGGCGATCAATAGCACTACATTTAAGAATTAATGGTTGAGATATCTAAGAAATAGATAGATAGAAATAGAGGCGAAAAGCCAAATTAGCTTATGTATGTAACACTTCCACTATTTATTGACCCCCAACTGAGTTGGGGAGAAGTTCATGCATAAATTAAAGCTGAGTATATTTCCTGATTCCTTGATGTCTTAATCGGCCATGGGTGCCAGTCAGCAGCTGACATATCAGCTAAAAAAAATTCAATTCTCGTGACTGACATAATCACACAGTCGGAATCGCAAATTTTTGAAAAAAAATGAATTGGCAAAATAAAAATAATTCGCCAAAAATTTCGAAACACATATGTATGTAGTATTTAATATTTACTCGTATACTCTAGTTTGCAGTATAATGCACTTTCAGGAAGTATATTTTATATCATATTTACCGCACATTTAAACCAAATTAACATTCTGGAACTACGCCTATTCGGGCGCCTTGGGAAGTATCGGAGTAAAAATCACCCTAAGTAGGAAAACTGTTTTATTTCACATTTATGAGTTCAGTGTAGTGCCCCACCATGATCTAAAGTTGTATGAAAATTGATTCACTTTACCAAAAAGCCGCCATTGGAAAAAATCAACCTTAGTGCTAACAATTTTGTATTTATTTTTCTTTTTATTGTATCTCATGATATTCTGAAGTTTCATCATCTTCTCCAGAATTATTCTTCGTACTAAATACTTTTCCATCAACTTCGGTATCATAGCCAAATTTTGTATAAATGAGTTCTTTGTTATACCTCACCATAATCTGAAGTTTCATCAATATCGGTTCAGTTCATCATAGAAAATATCGGTGAAAAAATCAACCTTAGTGCTAAAAATATTTCTGTTTATTTCGATATCGTAATTAAATTTTGTATTTATTAGTTTTTTATTGTGTCTCATGATATTCTGAAGTTTCTTCAAAATCAGTTAACTATATCATATATCTGTTATATTGATCGATCTTCTCAAAAATCATACTAAGTATTTCATACTTTTCTATAATTTCAGTATCATGGCCAAACTTGGTATTAATGATAGTGGTTCTTTAGTGTACCTCACCATAATCTAAAGTTTCAGTAATATCGGTTCTCTATATCATATATCTTTCATAGAAATTATTGATACAATAAAGAATAGTTCAGTGAAGAAGCTTTAGTGGGGAAAAGGACGGATGCAAGGCATTCAAGACCCTTGACACAATACTCTAAACGCAAAGGGTGAAAGGGTATACTAGTTTTGTGCAAATGTATGTAACAGACAGAAGGAGGCGTGGCAGACACCACAAAGTGTATATATTCTTGATCAGGATGACAAGGCGAGTCGATATAGCCACGTCCGTCTGTCCGTCCGTATGAACGCAAGGATCTCGGAAAGTATAAGAGCTAGAATAACCAAACTTGGAATTTAGATTCTCCTAAGACCGAGAAATTACGAGTTTAAGTTTTTTTCAAAATTAATTAATTAAATAATTAAATTTTTTTAATAGATATATATTTTTTAAATTTCCTGTCGGTCTTGCTCGACTGTAGCGTTCTATCTTGTTTTACTCACGCATTGTGGGAAACTATTTTCAATTTATGTTTCTAACCAATTTGCCATGCGGTGATCACAGTATCAAATTTGGCCTGCACCCGAAGTGTTATATGTAATAGATGGGGTTTTCAAATTCTGTACAACAAATGTAAAAGAGTATATTAGGTTTGCGCAAGCTGAAAAATGACAGGCAGAAGGAGGCGTTGTAGACCCCACAAAGTATAAGTATGTATTGTATGTCGATCTAGTCCTATCTGTCTGTCTGTCCGTTTGTCCGTATGAAAACCTGGACCTCAGTACTATAAGAGCTAGAGACACCAAATTTTGCAATAAGATTGATTTCGGCATCGATCGTTCTTGGGACAACTATTTGATGTAGGCAGACAATTTAAAATATACAAAAAATCGCTTAAGATAGCATTAAAAAGAAATAAGTTATCCCACTGAGGTTATTTTTGCACCGATTAACCAGCAGCTACATAAAGTGACATGTCTATATATGGTTTGTGATAAACTCGATCTCTGTATATGTATGTACATGAGACAAGTATGCATATGAAGTTTGGTGACCCTAGCTGTTGTGGGTCAGAAGCTATCGGTGTTCATACAAACAGACAGACGAACGATCGTCCTATCTTGCTGATCGTGTACATACAAGTATGTACCTATAAAATGTGGCCTGCCATGTCTACTTCCGCTTGTTACATCATACAGTTGGCATTAAAATTTATACAGGGTATGCAAATAAAATGAAGTAACATGTTTGCGTTAGCATTTCGAATCGAAGAAATAAAATATCCCATCACAACTTGTGAGTGAATATAGTAGACGCCATCATTTGTATGCAACATAATTTTTTATAAACATAATATAAATATAATATAAAGAGCACTGTCTTTATACTGCATACATTAGCATTGTATTTTGTTATCGATGGGGCGGCAGCAACACATTAACGCTCTACACTGTTTTTGATGTCTGTTCTCTGTTATCACCAGTCAGTCAGTCATCTTATCACATATCGAATATATGTACACACACATATCTGTGTATGTATGTGTGGAAATGTAAGGTAAGGCACAGCATGCGACAGGTGGTTCGTAAACAAGCCAGCAGCCAGCAGCCAGCCACCCATGCTTTAATCAGCGTTTCACCCACGCGTCTGTGGTGGTGCATGCAATCAGAAAACTGATTTGTCATCGATCGTTGGCAACGCTTGGACCACGGACTCAAGCTGTTTAATGTGCACATGTTGCGTTATTGGTGGTGCCTTGATTCTGTTCTTGTTTTCTCCCTACTTTTGCATTTCATTGTGCGCCCAAGAGGGTCTCAATGGCGACAAGTGTTGTCAACTTTGTCGTTTCGTTTTTCCGTCAGATCTGTAGTTTTTCAGAGGCCAATGGCGGGAATTCTTGGCAAATAAAGGAGTCAATAATTACTGTACTAAACTATCTATCTATCTATATATATATATATATATATATATATATATATATATATATTCAAAATAGTCCCATGGGTGACCCTGTGAAGTTTCGTGGCGATTCTTCAAAGCGATCAACCATCGATTTACCATGGCTTTTTTCTGCTCATTATCATTTGTTTGACAGTCGCTTTTTCATCGGTTTGTCAGTGTTTTATTCGTAAATGCATATGTAAATAAAATTGTAAAATGGAATTCAAAAAAGCAACTATTAGTAACAAGAAAAACCACATATTCCAAAAAAATATGAGTGAAAAAAGTGCAGCTAAAAATGCCGATGAACTCGAATAACGTTTGCAAGATCTTCGCGAAAGGGCATCCACATCTAAAGCCATTCAAATAGAAACGAAACAAGAAGGGAAGCCGCGGCTTCGGCAAATCTAGAGCCATAGAAACGGAATCAGAATGGGAGTCGGGGCGCATGTTTTCATGTTTTTTTTCATGCTCGTATTTTTATTAAATTCCAATTATCTGTAGTGTTTGTCATCGTTTCATTACCTTTTTTAAGTTTTCGCTGATACTTGAAAGAAGACGAGCCATAAAGACCTACTTAGACCACTGTGTCTGGTGTTGTTGAAGTTAGAAGTATAATGATATGCATCATATCATAATACATGATAACGGAAAGCTGAGAAATAGTTTTGGGGGCTTAGTTTATGGTAATAATAGTCATAGATAATGAGCTTTCCATCAGCTTCAGTATTTATTTAGCCATTTTCTAGCTGCTCTCAATCCCTGGATTAGCCTTTTTTCCATCTAAAAAGTTGGCAACACTGCTGCTCGTATTGAGTCGTGAGAGTGTGCGCAAAGTGTTTTCAGTCATTTGTGGGTGTGTGTGTGTGTGTGTGTAAGTGTCAACCAAAAGCAGCTAACGTTTTCTGTACAGCAACAACAAAAATATATATGTATGTACAACAAGCGAAATGGAAACAAACTGGAATTGAAACGAAGCTGTAATGCGGTGGCTCGCGCCCACATCGTGCATCAGTCGACGCCAACAGCTGCTCACTGGCGGGTGCTGCGATCTCCGAAAGCTCGGAGCTCAGTAGAAACAAAAAATAGAAGCGGCGCGACATTTCGAACTCCTTCATTGCAAAACCCATGTACATACATACACGCATACATATTTGCAAAGCAGTTTTGAAATCACTTTGGGGTTTTAAACATATATGTATATATTTTTTTTAAATAAGCCTTGTCTAGTCGCGTTGCGGGTTTTTTTTCTTCCACAAATTCAGTGTCATGGTCGGTGCGGTGTAACTGCGTTGCATATTAAAGTGTATAAATAGCGATTAACTGTGTATAGAATTGCATTCAAGTGAAGGAGTACAGAATCGAAGCGAAGTCATGCGGTAAGTGTTGCTTATTCTCCTATGTATGTAAACACATATGTTTTTTCTCAGCTTTTTACGTAATTTAGAGCCAATATGCGATATGTACATACACACATAGCTATCTACTTGTGCAGATATGTTTGTGCAAAAGAAATAATGAGGAGTCACACAGCTGTTAAAATGAATATTGTGCAGATATCAGTAATAAAAAGAAGAATATACATATGTATGTATGTTGACAAAAGCAATAAAATACTAAATAGTCGTGAGTGCCGCGCGGGCCCTTGTTAGGTTCCATGCTAAAAGGAGCTTTTAATTTCGTGCTGATCTCACAACAGTTTCCAAAACAATACAGTTTGTACATCTTACGTATCGTTACCTAGAAAGGTATACAATTCAAAAATTACATAGACTATAAATAAATAAAGACTGACCTTAGCTTAATTAAATAGAGTGCAAAAATGTTGCTGCAAATTTTCGATCTAATGACAGCTTTAAAGGGTTTTACAATTTTTGAAGAGCAGGAACCATCTACCATATACATATAGTATGTACATATATTGATTGTTTGGTTCAATCTTGAATATTGCTACATACTATCCACACAAAGGCCCAACATATATACAAACATATTACACACATAGGTGCATATACATACATATATGTATGTACATATGTATATATATCTGACAAGAGAAATTCTACACTTGAGCTTGACGCACGTTATCAGTCAACACCTAGAGAATAGATTGTATAAAAGGAAATAAAGAAAAACGATGTCGCATTTCGGTATCGACAACATTTGCTCAAGAGTCTAATTGGGCATTTTATGGGCACTATTGTTCAGTTTTATGGTCCCCAATTTCTGTACATTTGAAGATATGGCACGCTTTAAGATACAACAATACTGCCATTGTTGAATATAAAGTAGAAGAATGCACGATAAGATCTGCCAAAGTACCTTCTATACTTGTACATATGTATGTATATTTAGGACCATTGGATCACTTGCGCTTTTAGAATTTTGGAACTGAGAGAATGATTATGCGAATGATGACGTAGCTATAATAGTGTACAAATAAAGATCGAAATTGAAATAAATACATCACAGTGCAGAAATTTTTGCAATTCATTTGGTGCTTGAGGTACAGAGGTGCTTGAGTACCTCAGCATTATGTCAAGATAGAACGAGAGCGTAACTAAATTACTACCTCTTCTACCTCAGCACATGATCGCATTCATGGAAGATTGGCAAATCAACGTATACCATATCTAAGTTGACTAAGCTACTTTTCCCATGTCTATTATTTCAAATGTATAAGAATCTTCGAACTTTGTAAAAAGCATTTAAAGAAAGTTAGCAAAATGCTATGAAATCTAGCAATGTTTCTGTTGCTTAAAATATTATAATTTTTTTTAAATATTATTATATTTATTAAAGAAATGATCAGTACACTCACATTCATAGAAAATTGGCAAATCAACGTATGCCATATCTATATAGCGCCATAAAGAATAGACCATGACTAAGCTACTTTTTCCATGACTATTATTTCAAATGCAAAAGAATCTTTGAACTTTGTAAAAAGCATTTAAAGAAAGTTAGCAAAATGCTATGAAATCTATTAATGTTTCTGTTGCTTAAACTATTATTATTATTTTTGTTAAATATATTACGTTGCTTATGTAGTATGTTTGTGTTAGTCAAAATATAATACTTTTATTCAAGAAATGCATGTCCAAATACCCATTTATTTTATGGTTATTTTTTTGCACTTTTTAAGCCCTCTTCGCGAATCAAAATGATTATTATTTTTATGAAAATACTGCTTAGATAACTGCACAGATTTTATAATGTTTTGATGATTATTGTTGACAGATAACATTTGGTAGCGTAATAAAGAGCTCATTTCTGAAGAAGCTTGAATTAATAAACTTATCAGCTTAATGATTTCATAAATCGAAAATTTAATTTGACATCGCACTCTCAACCCGTTTAGCAGCTTTCCCTTAATTTGTAACACATGCTGGCCAAATTTGTCGATCAATAACATTAAATTAGTAAATCATTTATGCGCATATACAAATGCTCGACCTTAAGTCAAGGTTTCCAGTATTTTGAAGACAACAAATATGCGAGTTTCGAGACTGCACTTCATTGAAATACTATGTTCGCATTTATTTGAAATGTGCAAAGCTTGCGGAACCCCAATATTGAATCATCGTACTATACAATCAAATGATTAATTACAGCAATTCGGATTCGATAAATAGCACGTTTCGCTATTTTACAAAAAGACTCAACTAATTGCTGTTCATAGGAAAAAATCCAGAAACTGAAATTTATGAACAAACCACAAAGTAAACTTTTTTGTACGACAAATTACCATAAAATATCAAAACAAAGCCAAATTTACTTGCAGTTTTATTTGCTATTTACACCAATACCAATAAAAACCGGTTTTGCTTATTTGCAATTTTTACTGCTGTATACCTGAAACTTCAACTTTATCGGAACAGTATGTATGTCAGTTCGGGTACAACGATAATTTAAATATTAGGGTATGCTTGGGTGAGTCGGTCTGTCTGTCCGTACGAACTGGATTTTCAGAAAGCTAGAGACTCGAGCTGTAAAAAGAATCGATTCAGAATCGATTTAATAGATGCTTTGCGGTTTATTTTTAGAATCGATTTGTTGTTAGATAACCAGTGCTTCCAAATTTTTAGAAAGAAAAACTATTTCTGATGGAAAGGAGAGGGGAAAAACTGTTTTTGACGGGAAGGAGAATAAAATAAAGTAAACAAATTTCACAAAAAACGTGAAAAAGCTACATTTCTTTGTATAAAAAATATATATTTTCAGGGCTTTTTTTTATTATATTAGTGAACATTTTGAATGATATTCGCGCATTTTGTTCTCTGTCGTCGTATGGGCATTTCAAAAAGGTAATGGAAAAGTTGCTGAAGTGATCAATCTCTGCTATTGCAGTGTGTCTTGCTTCGATGGCTTCACGGGCCAGCAACAAAACCGATTTTGATCAATGACCGACCAATTTTTTTGAGAAATATAAATGCTTTAAACTTGTGTCATTGGCAAATTTACATAAATGTTGGCAAAATTACGAAAAGCGGAAAAAGGCTAAATGTATTTTTAAAAAGCCAGAATTACCGCTTTCCGCACTATTTTCCCGCAATATAATTTCAAAAACAACCAGATTTGACTGGAAAGAAGCTAAATTGGCAACACTGTATCTGATCGCAAATTTAATTATGTTCAGCTATCGATTTTATTTGTTGGAAAAAAATCGATGCAATTGAAAATCAAAAAAGATCAAAGCAGCCAACATCGATTATTTTGCAACTGAGCTCTAAAGAAGACTCAATGGCAATGAATTGAATAGTCTTTTCAAATAAATTTCTATTTGAATAATCGAATAATAATTCTACATTAATGTTGCATTCAAAAAACTCATAAATCTACCCTATTAGAACCGCATATCAGACACATAAACCTGTTGCTTTTTAAAAAAAATAGTTGCATTCTCATCGGTCGGATGGTTTCCAGTTTATAGGCAGTAGTTTTTTTATTTGAAACACCCCAAACCTCTTAAAAGCCAGAAAGCTAAATTAAATTATTCACAGCTCTACGATTGGCGAAGTGCGCGTGTATTGTAGAAAAGCTAAAAGTCTGTACATACTAGTATATATCTGATAACATTTAGGTTAACCAAAACATTTATATTTAGAATACCTGTTAAAACGGCGTAGTCATGGAATAGCAGTTTCGTTTTGAAAGAGTAAGGCGCTATGTATCCTAAAAAAAACCTGTGCCTGAAGAAGATTTTCGCAAGGAAACTCTTTCTACAACCATTTAAAAATTTAACGGTCTAATCTAATCTTAATAGCAAAGCAATGTTCTTTAGAAAGATTTCGCTAAGCCGATTGCTTCTCTTACAGATGTGTGTGTGATGAATAAGTGCGATTTAGAGTTATTTTATTATTGTGATAAATATTAAGATATGGTTGATCCATTGTACCCTCAACATTTTGTATCTCCAGGCTACGTATTCTTCCAGATTGCTCTTTAAACTGTGAAGGAGATTTAGAGTTATTTTATTATTGTGATAAATATTAAGATATGGTTGATCCATTGTACCATCAGATTCCAGATTGCTCTTCAAACTGGGAAGGAGATTTAGAGTTATTTTATTATTGTGATAAATATTAAGATATGGTTGATCCATTGTACCCTCAACGTTTTGTATCTTCAGGCTACGTATTTTTCCAGATTGCTCTTTAAACTGGGAAGGAGATCAGACAGTCTTGTAGTGAGCATTTTAGCTCCAATACTTCAGTTTCCCAGGAGCTTTATTTATAACGCAGTACTCGATAAGACTTATCATATAATGGGACATACAAATTTTCACTTTCATACTTTATTATACAGTTGCCTAATAATCACCGTAAATTCTCTCGAGTGTTTACTTTATCTTTTCCCATACTCGTATACCCGAACCTATTCGTATCTATACACGTATGAGTCCAATCCATTTGGCATGATGTTTATTTTCCACTATTACTCCACATTAGCTGTAGTATTAACGATAAGTGGAATATACGAACACATAAACAAGCTCGTACAAGTAGATACACGAGGTAGCTGCTGTTGGGTAATAATATATAGAAGCCGTAAACGTCAATATCTAATGACGCGTTCAACCGAAAACTTATACTCGTATCGTCAATGACAATTTTATGATCTGCTCGTAGCCAAGACACATGTACTCCGCTCTTTATTACTGTGTCATTGCTGTCTCGCAATCTACATACATATATTATACGCTTGGCTAAATAATCCCCAACTATTCGGAATGACTATTAAAATAATTAGAGAATGTTGCTTTGAGCAATCCGATCATTGTACACCCTGAATTCTTACCACGATGTACAAAATAAATACTTCTCCTTATTAGTTCACTTTTTTAAACGAAATAAGGAAACGTAAGAGAGGCAGATAAAATAATATACGAGTAGCTAAGATTACCTTCTGTAATAACTAGTTTTTCAGTTTTAGAGGAACTACATATAAGTATTTCCTTGTTTGAAAGCAAACTTTTCGGCGGGTATGAAAATCCGGCGGTCCTTGAAATCACATTTTAAAATTTAATAATAATACTTAGGAATACTATTTTCAATGTTCACTCACAATCACACAGAAAGATTTCAGTTTCGACACTTTCTTTGCTTCCCGCTGTTACAAAACTGAATCAGAATATCTAACGCGGTGAAATTAAAAAAAAATCCCGTCCACTTTAGCTTAAAGTTTCCAGTGAAAGGTTTGCCAGAAAATGTTTGAATCGATATTGAAAGAAAGTCCAGTCAGGAATATGTTTTCAAAACGAAAGAAATCGAAAATTAAAGATCAACAGAATTTACCAAATTTACCAATTTTATGATATTATAGAACTGGAATACACTTTTTAAAACTGCCTTGATTTGATTGAATAATTCACATGCGTTAGGTGTTCGTAGTTTAGAAAACATAAGGAGTCGGTCCAAAGGCAATTCCCCTCCAAGAATTAAACTGTGATCAAGCTTTTGCTTCTTAACCTTCTACTATTAGCAATTCGTAGCACTGTCCTTGGTTTCATTTTTGCTGCACAAGCTGAATATTGCCCTTCTAGGCCGACAACATGGAAGGTGGAATTAATTTTCATTTCAAAGACAAGATGTCTAGATCGTTTTTATGTTTTTTCTTCAAATTATAATGATCTTTTTGATTTACTCTCCACCGAATTCTCTCTCAATCAGAAAGAGAGAGAGAGAGAGATTATAAAATATTTCTGTACAACCATCTCCGGGAGAATCTTTGACCACATTTATATATGAGTTCGACTGACAATTCTATTCAAGTATTCTGGTTATCCATTGAATATTATTAAAATTGTCCCCTCTAGTAACTATTTCTTAGCTCTGGCTGTGAATCGGAACTTAGCTGGCCGGATGGCAAATAAAAACCCACCCCAACGTATCAGAGGCATTAATAGAGACTATTGTTCATTTGTTAGAGTATTTTGGAGGGTCTCTTATCTGCCAAGTTGAAGTTATAGCGTATTGTAGATTGATGACGATATAAACGAAATAAATAAATTATTACACATGTAGTAGAACAAAGAGGTACGATTGATTGAGTGAATACTACAACATTAAAATATTGGTAGCTCGAGTAGTACTTGCTAACTGAGGAACTCCAAGATGGCTTTGATTTTTCGCAGTGTACCGATAGAGACATTTGTATTGCTCTCAAGCCGATCTACAAGATAAGCTGTATAATTATAAAATGCTATGCGTTCAAATCATAGCGGGTTGTTTGATAAACTTGTAGATATAGCTCCGTTATCGAGTCGCTTGGGCCTCAAACTAGCCGGCCAATAAAAAGTTGCACACGGCTCCAAAGAGATTGGCCAGCAGGTGAAACGGATTAATTTTCTACTACACTCGTGCTATACTATTTATGTTGAATGAAATCGGCGTTAATTATAAGTCAAGAATTGCTTGTTAATATCGCAGTCGAATCAAATGGTTTATGAGTCCAAATGGCCGATCGTATCAAAAACCAGACTCTGATAAGCGCACTCAATGGAATGAACGCAATGTTTACGCGAATCGTTCAAAGGTAGTACAAATTTTGGTCGTTGATTGCAATTGTTTCATTAAGGAGCTACCAAGTCTTAATAGCTATTCACAGCAACAAAATATACTGCTGGACTTGGCCAATGCAGTTGTTTTTCTGGAGTTCACAGTTTTAGCTTCCATGAATGGAACGTTTCCAAATTTGAAAACTGTAGATCGATTGAAGAGGTTCATTTTCAGAGTTTTAATACCAGATTTGATGAGATCTTAGCAGCCACGCTTAGATGGCATTCCAGCTTTTCGTCAATATTGAAGAACCAATTCAGTTCAATTTACAATGCCTCCAAGTCAAAATTTGATTCCATCGACGACTTAAATGCATGTTTAGATCTCTTAATAAACATTTTACGACAGTTCTTAAATAAAGCAACAATTTAAAAAAATTGTATTTCCATGTTCAGATAGCAATGCTATTTCAAAATGTATGTGATATTTCAGATATTTGTCAAATATATCGTAGTCGGCAGCCACTTGGACTTATTGTACAAATATGGAAACGATTAAGTTTCTTCATCTTTATCTTGATTTGATCAGTTTGAGTTTTCTTCGGTAGTGTCAGTTTTCCGTCTCTATCTCCATTTATACTCTTCACTAAAATATTACAAGACGAATCTAAATCCCTGTCTGATTCAATCGCTATTCCTCCCACAGCCTTCAGCGATCGCATTGAAAATTGATTTCTTTCCAAGGACAAGGCTACAATAGGGACCGGAAAATAACGCAAGTACATAAACTATATCATAAGATATATGTTCTTTAAGTAACTGTCTTATCACTATTCATCAAAGGAAAGATTGTTGTTGGGGTTTATGATATGATTAGCATGTCGAGTCAAATCCAAATCGTGCATGTCTCTCTGTCCATCTTGAGTCCCACCATAGCATCGATATGATTTCGATTTGATCGTCAGACGATTCTTCATTTAGTTTCAATTCTATTTTTATAAATTTCCTTCTGAAAGTATCAACAATAAACAAATTGTGCTGTAGGCTATTTAATAAAACAATTCATTGCTTTATGGCCTTGGGCCTAGCGCACTGGGAACGGCATAAATAGAAAGTTCCTGAAGCCATAAAAACCAGAACAGCATTTATTGCACTCGAAATTGTTATACCCTCCACCTTATGTTGAAGGCTATATTTGTTTTGGCATATGGTATAAGGATCTTTGCATTGCTGATCTCATGCTCTACGAGCGACTCTGTTATCGATAACTTTGAAGCCGAAAGGTTATCGATAACAGTTTTCTACAATTATTTTCGTCCTTTTGTATCTCAAATACAGGGAAGACGATTGAAAGATTTAATAAAAATGTAGTTCTACTATTATATTTATACTGGTTTATTTCTACCATTATATTTATACTGTTATATTTATAATAGTTTGTTGTTATATTCAAGTCTACTCGGTGTCATAGAACTTGGGATTCATATGAACGGATCGATAGCCAGGCCATTGCTTATCAATTCTTCTCTTCAGACTCTCCAACCCGGTTGTCTTCTTCTTAGTGTATACTGTTATATTTCTTAGTATTTATACTGTTATATAAATACAAATTTGTTGATAAGCTAAGACTACTTGGTGTCAATCGAACTTAAGGGGCATATGAACGGATCGATAGTCAGGCTATTGCTTATCGATTCTCCTCTTCAGACTCTCCTACCCGGTTGTAGTCTTCTTCTTACTATATACTGTTATACAAATAATAGTTTGTTGATAAGCCAAGTCTACTTGGTGTCAATAGAACTTAAGGTATATATGAACGGATAGTTAGGCACACCAATGCTTATCGATTCTCCCCTTCAGGCTCTCCTACCTGTTTGTTTTCTCCTTAGTGTATACTGTTATATTTGATAGTATTTATACTGTTATATAAATAATAGTTTGTTGATAAGCCAAGTCTACTCGGTGTCAATAGAACTTGAGGTTCGCATGCACTGATCGATAGCCAGGCCATTGCTTATCGATTCGCCTCGTCAGGCTCTCCTTCTACCTAGTCTCTAGTCTTCTTCTTAGTGCAAGCTATTGAAAATGTTGGATAGCCAGTGTGGTTCCACAATTTGTGGGCCAGTGACCACCATGATGACCAAAGAACGTTCTTAAGGGTATCTACTTTCGGCATAGCCGATATTTTATTACACACTCGTGTACATATATGTAAGTATGTGTGCAGTGGGAACGTTGGCCAAAGATTGTGTTGTGGCCACACTAAATCATTGCGATTACACCAGCTTGCTTGTACGTACGCAACCACTTGATAGGTTGTGTCCGGTACTCAAGTGAATTGGTTTGCGGTAGCGGCAGACCAGAGGTGCTTTGGACACAGCTCGGTTTTCATTTATAAAATGCAACTCACTCCCTTTCTTTCTCTCTCTCACTACTTATATCTCTTGCAGAATAACCGTTAATAAGAAATCCGTAGTATGGCTGGTGATTGGCGCTCTAGTGGTTCTTGGTCTGACTCTGGGTCTGGTATTCGGACTGCAGACGCGCAACACTCGCTACATTACTGGCGCCGTTGTCTCCAATGGGATTGGATGCGCGGATGTGGGCGCCAATGCGCTTAACGAAGGTGGATCGGCGGTGGATGCTGCGATAGCCACACTGCTCTGCGAGGGTGTTATGCTGCCGCATTCGATGGGAATAGGCGGCGGCTTTGTAGCCACCATTTACACGCGTAGCTCCCGGAAGGTGGAGACTTTGATCGCTCGCGAGTCGGCTCCGGCGGCAGCTACTAAGGATATGTTTGTGGGCCAACAGGAGATTACGGGTGCCAAGGCGGGCGGAGTCCCTGGCGAGATCTTGGGCTATTCGGAAATGCATCGTAAATACGGTCGCTTGCCATGGGAGAAGCTGTTCGAGCCCACAATCAAGTTGGCTCGTGAGGGGCATGTTGTGTCCAAATATTTGGCGGCAGCTATCCAGTCCAAACTCTCCTACATCCAGAATGAGCCATCGCTCAAGGAAGTATTTCTAAAGGAGAACGGTGACCCATATCTCGAGGGTGAAACCATGAAGCGTGTCAAGCTGGCGGATACACTGGAACGTATAGCGAAAAATGGCGCCAAGGAGATATACGGCGGTGGAGAGACGGGTCGCATGTTTGTTGAGGATATACAAAAGCTCGACGGCATCATAACTGAAAAGGATCTCAGGAACTACAAGTGAGTATGAATTTGGGACTCTTGTATGGGTTCGATAGTAAAGTACTTTTAAATTGGAGTCAAAAAGATGAGCTCCTTTGTAGAGCTCATGATGTATGTACTTGTATATTCATATATTTCTAGTACTTCCCTACATCTTATTGCAATGTTTTCAAGCAATCTCTCTTGAAGTCAAGTGTTGGCTTGGTCTAGCATCCTAGCTACGGTCAATTCGATCCTAGTTTGCAAAACCTTTCTGGACCTCAGAATGGTGAATAGTTTCGACCTGGAGTCTAGAAGATGGGCACTTTGTTGAATGCTCTTAACATGCTAAGTTCCTCAAAATGCTGCCATATCTTTCCATCCAAGAAATATATATACTACTATATATTACAAGTGAAATAATAATTAGTATTAAGTAGAGGAGGAAAGCAATCCTTAAATAAAGTAAAGTAATTCCCATGGGCCTGCTGCAATTCTTTTAAGGCGAGCAAGGAATTTGATCTCATTTTGAAATTAGGTTTCAGGTTCTTCAGTTTGTTTCCTTCTTCCAAGAAAATAGCAAAATACATACTAGATATTACAAGTGATATAATAATTAATTTTAAGTACAGGAGCAAAACAATCCTTTATTAAAATACTACCCATGAGCCTTCTTCAATTGCTTCAAAACTACTTGAAGGTCTGAATTTTAAGATACCATTTAAAGCGGCGAGCAAGGAATTTGATCTCATTTTGAAAGTAGGTGCCAGGTTCTTTAGTTTGTTTCCTCCTTCTGCTGTCATATCTTTCTATATATCCAAGAAAATAGCAAATACCTATGTTCTCAAACTATATTACAAGAGGAGCAAAGTAATCCTTAAATAAAGTAAAGTAATTCTCATGGCCCTTCTGCAATTCTTTTAAACCTACTTGAAGGTCCACATTTAAAGATACCCACTAAAGCGACGAGCAAGGAATTTGATCTTTTTTTGAAACTATGATCCCGGTTCTTCAGTGTATTTTCTTCTTCACTGAAACTACTCTTCTTTTTCCTGCCGCAGAGTTCGCTGGGAGAGTGATGGACACATTACTGCCCACGTGACCGGCAACTTCACGCTATATACCACGCCTTTGCCCTCAAGCGGACCCCTGCTCGCCTTTATTCTCAACGTGATGAGCGAACTGAATACGGAAAAGAGCGAAATCTTCTGGCAGCGTACCATCGAGACGTTCAAGCATGCGTATGGACAGCGCACAAATCTGGGCGATTTTTTAAATGATCCCGAACAGGAGCCGACCATAACCGAAACTCTAAAGAAGTTGCGCAGCGAAGACTTTGTAAAGCAGGTGCAAAGCCTAATATTCGACGATCGCACCTTCGCCGATTCCAAATACTATGGCGCGAACTTCACCAACGCCCCGGATGGTGGAACGGCACACATGAACGTGTTGGCACCCAATGGTGATGCCATCGCCATCACCAGCACCATCAACAACTAGTGAGTGGGCCTCAGTTTGTTTGTTTGTTTTTGAAGCTTATTTGAAATAAATCCCTTCACAGCTTCGGTTGCAAGGTGGCCTCTTCCCGCACCGGAATCATTCTGAACGACGAGATGGACGACTTCTCTACGCCGGGTGTTATCAATAGCTTCGGTGTGCCTGCTTCGCCAGCCAATTACATCGTGCCTGGCAAGCGTCCCATGTCCTCTATGAGTCCCGCTATCATAGTCGATGCTAATGGAAACGTCCGTTTGTTAATTGGTGCTGCTGGCGGCACCAAAATAACGACCAGCGTGGCATCGGTAAGACCTCCAATTGTTTTTTGACTTATTTCGTAGACTAGTCCAGGAATCCTTACATTTTCTTGCTATTATAATTATTTGAAGAATATATATTGTATATTGTATTTTTGGGTCCAGTTCTGTGAAATTCATGATCTATAGTTCTTAATGCAGTGTAGGAATGCAAGAATTGTTATAAGATTATTGTATAGTTTTTATTTTTTGGGTCCAGTTCTGTGAAATTAATGATCTATAGTTCTTAATGCAGTGTAGGAATGCAAGAAACCTTACATTTTCTTGCTATTATAATTATTTGAAGAATATTATATTGTATTTTTGGGTCCAGTTCTGTTAAATAAATGATCTATAGTTCTTAATGCAGTGTAGGAATGCAAGAAACCTTACATTTTCTTGCTATTATAATTATTATAAGATTATTATATAGTTTTTATTTTTTGGGTCCAGTTCTGTGAAATGAATGATCTATAGTTCTTAATGCAGTGTAGGAATGCAAGAATTGTTATAAGATTATTGTATAGTTTTTATTTTTTGGGTCCAGTTCTGTGAAATCAATGATCTATAGTTCTTAATACAGTGTAATAATGCAAGAAGTGTTATAAGATTATTGTATAGTTTTTATTTTTTGGGTCCAGTTCTGTGAAATGAATGATCTATAGTTCTTAATGCAGTCCAGGAATGCAAGAAACCTTACATTTTCTTGCTATTATAATTATAGTTTTTATTTTTTGGGTCCAGTTCTGTGAAATTAATGATCTATAGTTCTTAATGCAGTCCAGGAATGCAAGAAACCTTACATTTTCTTGCTATTATAATTATAGTTTTTATTTTTTGGGTCCAGTTCTGTGAAATTAATGATCTATAGTTCTTAATGCAGTCCAGGAATGCAATAAACCCTAAATTTTCTTGCTATTATAATTATTATAAGATTGTTATAAAGTTTTTTTTTTTGAGTCCAGTTCTGTGAAATGAATGATCTGTAGTTCTTAAGGCAGTCCAGGAATGCAAGAAACTTTACGTTTTCTTGCTGCCCTCTTACAAGTATTTCGTTGAGTCTCTGTTCATATAGTTCTTAAAAAGTATGTAGTTATAATGTTACTTTCTCGTTTATGACTGACTACAGAGCTTTAAAAACATTTTTACGAACACATTTTTTGGAAAATATCCAATTTCCTAAAATAGTATTCAAATCTGAATTATCATTAATTTTGTACTTGCTTGCAATCAATTCCTTTCAGGTTATTATGAAATACCTTATACACCACCAGGGGCTGAACAAATCGGTTCAGGATGGGCGTGTCCATCATCAGCTAATGCCAGATCAAATCGATACTGAGGCGGAGATGGACAAACCTATTGTCAGCTATCTCGAGCAGGTTGGTCACAAGATCGAGCTATTGCCCGAGGGCACGGGCTTTGCGGCAGTAACGGCAATTGGCGCCCTGGGCGACCCAGAGCCCGTCTATGATCGCCGGCGCGTTGGAAGCACCATGCAGATCCAGAACCGCAATAAGATGCAGCATTAAAAGCTGGCGAATAGCTTTCACACGCATATTGTTTGTGATTTTATTTATTTAACTCTCTATCTATAAGCCCTAACTATAGTTATAGTGCCAGCGCCAGCTGTGATGTCATGCATGTAAATATAAACATTTGTAAATCGTGTAGGTTGTGTGCTAAATGTTGCAAATATTACCATTTTATGTATTCGATCGAGTCAAAAATACTGTAAATAAATGTAAAAACTGATTTATTTTAAATCATTACTCAATGTGCTTAATCTGGCGGATCTTTATTTGACATTTTCTCAAGTTTCACACCAAAATGTAGACGCATTGCAGACAATTAATGTATATAGTATCTATGTCAAGTGTTCAGTTGATAAAGCAACGAGTTATTTAAAAGTAATTTGCAATGACAGTAATGTGACTTTTAAGTACAGAAAATAGTAGTCAGGAAAATAATGTAGCCGACTTATTACGTCTGTAACTGCAATAATTTCATTCAATTTATAAATAATAATTAGTTATTGAGCGGTTTTTTGTTCTACGAATCGTTATTTTTTCTTGTACTTTGTCTATAATTGTCGCATAGGTGGCGCTAGTATTCTATTGTAGATGGCGCGCACACAAACGTACTAAATTGGGCAAAACGCGTTTATTTGTCCACGAAATGGTACTTGCCTATCGATATTTTTTCCCGTGCTGAAATCAAACAGTTGTTTGCGTGACCATCGATAGAAATAGATTGTAGACCTTCGATGGTTTCGGTGCATTGTCATTATTTTGACACCACTATTCAATTTACTTTTTGTTTACACTTGCATTAGAGACCGCGGTTGTGTGTGTTTTATTTTGCGCTGTGAGTGGAAACTCTTGGTGGGTTTTTCGGCTTGGCCGCTGTTAGTGGGATGCAACTGCAAGTAATTGTTTTGGAATTTGTATTTGTTCTAAATTGGAATTAAAACCGCTACTGTTACTACGCTCACTTGCCATTATCGGCAAGTTGCTTTTGATCGTTAAATTCGTTGGCAGTCGTTGCCGCTACTCGCTCACCTGGTTCTCGCATATACACACACACACACCACGCACACACACACACACGCACGCACACACAACACTTTGCTGGCCAACAGCAAAGCATCCAAGCAAACGAAAATTCTTCTTCTGCGTGTTCCCATTGCTGCTGCTTCGTCTGCTCGCGGTGTTAACTTGGCTTAAAGCGTGTCGCCGCCATCACAATCGTCGCTTACTTACATTGGCATTGAAGTCGCGTAGTCATTTTAGAGGCGCAGACACGTCAACAAGAAAGTGGCTGCGCATACCCTCATATACTGGCATTTTCGATTTCGGGGGTCCCGTCGTAGCCGTCCTAGTTGCTGGAACCGCCGCGCTGTTGCTCCAGAATGCGTGTGAGCAACATACGCAGCGGTCGCATTTGCCGCCTGGCCCTGTGCCTGCTGGTCATATTGCCGCTCCTCTACTTGCTGGCGAACTGGAGCGATCATCATAAGCGGGTGCAGGAGGCGTATCATACGCGTTTTGGCGGAGCCAAGTTTAGTCATCAGCGGCTGGAGAATCGACCGCGTGAGGTGCCCAAGTTGATTGAAGGTATGTCGATTTAGTGTGGACATCAATTTATCAATAACGCCACCCCTGCTCCTCCAGCGCAAGACCCGCTTGTCTTTCGGGCATTCTTCAATCCACAAGAACATGGCATTGGTATTTCCATTAACTTTCTGCTTTCATATTTCATTCCATCATACATACATACATACATACATATACATATGTAGATATGAATATATATCATATCAGCAGTTGACTTTATCGTGACTTAGTTTCGTAGCTACTAGTAGTAGTCAGCTATTTGTACAACTGTATTTGGGTTTTTGCAACGCTAATTGATTTTTGTTCTCTTTCTCCGCCACCCTCCTCCAAGGTCTGGGCAACTTTGAACCGAAGAATCTGAAGAAACGTACCGGTCCGGGTGAAAATGGCGATGCGTACATATTGTCGGCAGATAAAAAGAACAAGGCGGATGCTTCCGAAATGGAATATGGCATGAACATTGCCTGCTCCGATGAAATTTCAATGCATCGCTCTGTGCGGGACACACGTCTTGAGGAATGCAAGCATTGGGACTATCCGTACGATTTGCCCAAGACCAGCGTCATCATTGTGTTCCACAATGAGGGCTTTTCGGTGCTCCTGCGCACTGTCCACTCTGTTATTGATCGCTCGCCCAAGCATATGCTGCACGAGATCATCTTGGTCGATGACTTTTCGGATAAGGAAAATCTGAAAAAGAAACTCGACGACTATGTGGTACAATTTAATGGTCTGGTCAAGGTCATACGGAATACGGAGCGCGAGGGATTGATACGCACACGTTCCCGTGGCGCCATGGAGGCAACGGGTGAGTAGAATGCCGAATGAATCTCCCAATTATTGGGCCAATCCCTGTATTTGATCTCTTGTAGGTGAGGTGATTGTCTTCCTCGATGCCCATTGTGAAGTGAATTTGAATTGGCTGCCACCGCTGTTGGCGCCCATCTATCGTGATCGTACTGTCATGACTGTGCCCATTATCGACGGCATCGACCATAAGAATTTCGAATATCGCCCTGTCTATGGCAGTGACAATCATTTCCGCGGCATTTTCGAATGGGGAATGCTCTATAAGGAGAATGAAGTACCGCGGCGCGAGCAGCGTCGTCGTGCTCATAACTCAGAGCCTTATCGCAGTCCCACGCATGCGGGTGGACTATTTGCCATCAATCGCGAGTATTTCCTGGAGCTGGGCGCCTACGATCCTGGACTGCTGGTTTGGGGCGGTGAGAACTTTGAGTTGAGCTTCAAGATCTGGCAATGCGGCGGCAGTATTGAATGGGTTCCGTGCTCCCGTGTGGGTCACGTCTATCGTGGCTTTATGCCTTACAACTTTGGTAAGCTGGCCAGCAAGAAGAAGGGACCTCTGATCACAATCAACTATAAACGTGTAATCGAGACCTGGTTCGATGAAATCCACAAAGAGTATTTCTATACGAGGGAGCCGCTGGCGCGTTATCTCGATATGGGCGACATTACAGAACAGTTGGCTCTAAAGAAGCGCCTAAACTGCAAATCCTTCCAGTGGTTTATGGATAACATTGCTTACGATGTGTACGACAAGTTCCCCGGACTGCCGGCGAACCTGCATTGGGGGGAACTGCGCTCTGTTGCCTCGGACGGCTGCCTGGACTCGATGGGACATCAGCCGCCAGCGATTATGGGCTTAACCTATTGCCATGGCGGCGGCAATAACCAACTGGTGCGACTGAATGCCGCTGGACAGCTGGGCGTCGGTGAGCGTTGTGTCGAGGCGGATCGCCAGGGCATCAAGCTGGCCGTATGTCGCCTGGGCACTGTGGACGGCCCCTGGAGCTATAACGAGCATACCAAGCACCTGCTGCATCGTGTCCATAAGAAGTGCATGGCACTTAATCCAACGACACAGCAATTATCGCTGGGACACTGCGATGTGAACGATAGCTACCAGCAATGGTGGTTCAAGGAGATACGTCCACGTTGGTAGAAGCCAGCGCACTGAATGAGCACAGGAAGCACAGCTAGATCTTATGGAAAACAAGGATGTTGCAATATGTCATAAGGGTTTCAAGAGCGAACGCTCGCAAGCGTTAGCGTTCGATAAAGGGGGACGGGGCGGGGATGGGATAGGCGCGGCCGGCAGTTAGACAAAAGGAATTTAGTGAAAATGGAATTGTTGTTGGATATTTGTGTGTATTTTATAGAGAGCGATGAGCTAACATCAAACTTTGTTTACCATTTTTTTTTTTTTTTGTACGAGTATTCATGAATATGAGTGAGCGAGACGAATGCGTGTGTGCGAAAAAGGGGGATAGGAGAATTATGTAGAGCGACGACGTGCAATAATTTCTTGGCGTGATTTTTTATTAACAAATTCAATTCCCACTGAATCACACTCACACACTTGACAAACAAATAAAAAATATATATGAATAACTGTAATTTTACGAGCAACAGAATGAAAAATATCAATTAAGCATCCTTGCTGAAGATTAATGTTAACAATACTATTATTTTGTAATAATTCTTTAATTTGTAAACTTATGTTTAAATAGAGATAGAGAGCGAGAGAGCGTATTTGTCGTCTCGACATGTTGTGCTCGACATTCCACTGCTCTACAAAACTGAAACAAAAAGCATCCATGCCTGTATATCGGTTGCATTGCCAATTTCTGCTTTAAACTTAACCTTTTGATTTTACCTAATCACTAACTTGAATTAAGCAATATGTTACGAGTGTACGAGTGTATGTGGATATGTATATTATCGGCATTCTGTGCGCGCACACAGATTGTTGTGCGTACTCGTATGTCTGTGGGTTGTCTCTTTAAAAATTTGTTCTCGAAGCATAGCCAACGTTTAGGACTTTTTTATACATACGCCTATATACATATAGTATATATAAATAAGTTTAAAGCTATAAGTCTGAATAACGAAAATAGAAATAAACGTTTTTCTAAACAGCTTTCGTACCTCGTCTCGATTTGTTGCTTACTATATGTATATACACCTACTTATACATATGTATATGTTGGTTAGCTTGTGATGCTACATATTATCTCTTTCATTAAGGGTACTTGTATAAATACAAATATATACATATTTTTCCAATCGCCTATGCGACCAACATGACAGATAAGACTGACAGGGCATCCATTATGCTGTGTCGGTTCGGTCTGCAGCCCAAGTTCAAATCACAATCGCAACTACTATATAATTATATACATCTGCGTGGTATGTATATTTGGAATGGGATGTGTGCTCCATTGGTGTGGGTAGACGACATACTACATACACGCAAAGTAAGTGTGTTTTTGTAGAGCGTAATGAGATAAGCATTTAGTCTGCTCGAAAACAAGTTTGCTCCGAGCACCGAATACAAAATTATACTACTTAGTGATATGTCAACTGATATGTAAAAACAAAAAACGAAGCAAAAACCGATAACATTTTGTTCGAGCAGGTAAGCAAATACCTTCTACTTCCATACATGAATTGCACTTCAGACAATTGTTTTGTTTCGGGATCCGTAATTCTTTGAGGACCTTACTCACCAATTAGAGTGGTCGGGAATGAGGATAGCCAGAAATGCCATGAAATTTTATCTTTAGGGTACCAAGAGATAGCAATGGACAAAATGTATTTCCACAATGACCTTTTAAATCAACATACGGTCTTGTGTCAATGGAATGCTTATTCAGGGTCGCTCTGAAAAAAGCAACAATAAATAAACATACATTAAAAGTATTAAGCATTTCATATTCGTAAACATGAATGGAATGCTAGAGTCGAGCGAGTCCGACTCCTAAAAACCTGGAACCCATTTTCAAAAAAAAGGGATCTTGATCTAGGGTGATCATGGATACTTCGTCACATAATACCGCCCATACTACCTTGACTTCTAATGAAGAATATAGCTATTTTCACGATATCTTCTATCGGTTACCTACCTTCACATTAAACTAGTATACCCGTTCACCCTTTGGGTACAAGTTATAAGATCTGCTGGTTAGGAGAAGTTCCGGACCTGTAACTTTTAACTTAGCTATAAATTAGCTGCTGTACGTGTAACTAAATGGTGGGTAAAGCCAAAGAAATCTGAATAGAAAATGTTGTGCATATCTATCCTAGTTATAAAGAAATAACCCTATAATTTCAGATAAGAAACGTATACTAGTTTAGAATGAATTAAAATATATTAAACGGATGTTTGCGGTACAAATAAGTAAGTTCGCAGTATTTGGTATGACGAACCAATATTTAACAATATGATATCACTAATAAATAGATATACGCTGCACAATAGATATACCCTATTCAACATCGGGCATGTAACTCTAGCATTTAAAGACTTTGTAAATACATACACATAACATATGTATGTATGTAAAGATGAAAAGAGTTTGAATCCGTTTCGTCATTTCTTTATGTTCCATATCCTGTTCGAGTCACTGCTTATTCATATTTCAGATGAATTGGTGTAAGTTTCTGGAAATTAAATAATGGTATATATGTACTTATGTTCTTACTCCGAATGTTATCTCGAATCACGTTCTATTTATCTGATTTGTATGAGATGAACGTGAGATGTCTCCAGGTACAGATACATATTAATGGACTTTTCTTTAAGTAAGTAGTTTCGTTCATGAGCGACACCCCACCAATTATTCAGTACTATTTTTAAACTATCGTAAAAGTTTGGAGTCTATATTTTTTCGACTCAAGAATTAATTAATTATGGGTTCCTTCCTAATAAAGTTGATAAAAGAGTTGCTTTCAAACAACACCATTCAGTGTTGTCGGCGATCCTTAAAAAAGCAGTTATGCGATTGATCAATATTGAGTTTTAAATAACAACAGGATTCTATTGAATTCTGATTGCCTACTATATAAACAAATGAAAGATTTAAATATTGGCATTTAATCAGAAGGTATAATTCAGAGGCATTATTTTTGCAGTGAAATCAGTGATTAATGACATTTCCGCATTATTTGGACTATACTGTGCTGAAAAGTCTTTCAACTAATGCCATTAATTGGAATAGATAAGCGAGTTACCACTTCACTTCAGTTGCGGTCATGAATCACACTTTTGGAAATTTGATAAACAAAATTGTCAGACGACAGGGGGGTTTTGCTAAATATTCTCAAATACTCGTATACTCGTATATACGAGTGCTTTAATTAGGCGGCAAGAAAGAAAGAGCGCCACTCAAGGGAGGCGATTCCAGTAAAGTCTAGAATGTTTTGATAATGTTCCGCGAACTATATGAATTGTTTTTTGTGTTTATAATACCATAGATCTCAATGCGATTCGACGGTCTCTATTCCCATTGACATATAGCTTGACATATGTAGAGCTAATTTGTTAGTGATATTAAAAAGACATGATATCGTTAATTGAACGCAAAATTGCCGTGCATTTTTGGCTACCGGTTGTCAAATTATGCCTTTTGTTTATCATCCAACTACAATAAAACACAATAGCTGGACTCCAACTAGATACAAACGGTATGAATGTACACTGCACAGTGTGCTACTTCGGCAATGTAGGCGAACAAAAATTGTAAATCAAGTAACTGTAAAATTCAATAATACAAAATAATTACGTAAGGATCGATCGTTGGATATGTTGTACCATCACTATAGATGCTTTGAATGAATATCAAACCGCATTTTCTATAATCAGTTTTAATTGAGTAGAATCCTCTGGCATCGCCCGTAGCCGCCCATCTCTTTGCTAGAGTCCTTTAAGCAACATTTAATACTACCAGTATATATTGAACCGAAAGGGATGATTATGGTTGAGACTTTATAAGCAACACATAAATGCCAGCTTTGGGTAAAATATTTTTATAAGCACAGAAAAATATTAAATAAATACGTGTTGTCTGGTTAATAGGAGAGTCTACATACCAAGTTTGGTGAATGTAGGCTCAACCGTTTCCGAAATCCAGGCGTTCATCCAGACAGACGGACAGACGGATATGGCTCTATCGATGCGTCTTGTCGTGCTGACGAAGAATATTAATATTTTAGGGGTTTGGAGATGCCTCCTTCTGCCTATTACAGGCTTTCAACGAATCTTACCCACGGGTACAGGGTAAAAACAACCCCCATTAAATACGTATGTAGCTGCGATAATTTTGTGGGCAGTACATAGCTGAACCACAGCAGAAGTAACAAAAACTCCACGTGGGTAGAGATTACAGGAATGTCCTGAAGAGTTCAACAAACGCTATGAAACTGCACGATCAGAAAAACGACAGTTAATGAAAATCACAATTATATTCGCCTTTCTCGAGCACCTGTTCTAGGTCTTTTCAACAATGAGATCACTTCGTTACTAATATTGCTCCTCTAGAGGATCTGATACATACTCTCTGCTAAAATAATGCATATTCCGAGCAGTAGCGGAATGGGCAAAAATTGAATCGGTTGCATTAAAAAAAGGGTGAATCCTTTGGGAAAGGAGCACAATGGAAACATTATACCATACTAGAAATGCAGATACTATTTTAGTTTTTAGTCAACATACATTTTGAGTACATATGAGTATTTTGTAGATATTTTGTTATTTTGCACACATAATTTTTTTCTATTGGTCGTTTTAATATAATAAGAATTATGTGAAACCTGATATTTTGTTTTCTAGCACAACTTTTAAATACCACATCAAAAAAATAAACAAATACAAGTCCAACAATGTTTGGTTTTGGCTTTAACGTTATTTCATGCATTGTACGTACTCATTACTATTTTACAGGGGTATGTGTATACGTTATGGGATCCATTACTTCTTATACACCTTATGTACCCATTTACTATTTGGGTGCGAGGCATGCAAAGTCTTCGGTTTTAAAATACACAAATCAAAAACAAATACAGGACAGTTTTTTATTTCCTAGCTCGGGAAAACAGAGATCACTTCTTATACCCCTTATACAAGTATAACCATTTACTCTTTGGGTGCGAGGTTTGAAAATACACAAACTAAATGCTCGTACAAATATAAGTATGTATGTGGACAATTTTTAACTTTCTATCTCGGGAAAATAGAGGTGCGTGTTTAAAAAAACATAAATTTCAAATATTTTGCGTATTTGGGCAATATGTTCGATCAGAATCTGAAATATTATACTGTGCTTGCGTCGGGTCGTTGTCTCTTTCAGCGAATTCTGATTAGATCTGAACGCGCCGCAATGACAAAACAAAACAGAACAATATCAAAAAATATTGTTCAATTTAATTGACTGAAGTTAAATTTGTTGGGCATCGGCATTCGGTTGCCTCACAGCTGTCCTTATCGCCCCATACACTTGATGTTCCGATTGTGCTGCTCCTGTTGTTGTTGTCTGTGAAAATTGTCACTTCTGCTGATAACGCACGAGCATGGAGAAGGGCCGAGTTAGAGGCAAAAAAAAAAAATAAAACAGCAACAACAAAATATCAAATCAAATGCTTTCATTTGGTAGCATCGTCGAAATCGTATAAATAATAAACAAGGCTGCAAAGCATGGCTCATACCGCGTTCTCAGTTCGACGTAGTTGGTACACACTTTTGATTTCTAAATCACACAAGTTTCCCCGTTTCCAAAATCCTAAGGAAAATGTGCAAGTTGAGTTTCTGTTTCTTGGCCCTGTTCGCTTGCGTCTTGGCCGGCGCCAGTGCGGGCGTTTCACAGCCTCGTGCTCCCACCGAGCAGCGCAACATACTCGTCGTCAAGGATCTGCGAGAGTTTGCTGCAAAGCATCCGGGCTTGAAGATGGAGCGCTTGGTGAAGGCCCCTGCCAAGGGACGTGCTGGTACACAGACTGTGCGCTATGTGCTGGGCACACGTGTTTCGGGTGAGTTCCTAAATATCCAATATACTCGTACGTTCCTGTAGTAGTTAGTTAATATCTAACCTGATTCCGATATCTCCACTAGCTACACTGTTTTTCAATCAAAACTTTTTCAAATTCTTATCACTTTTGAGGCATATATATATTATACGTATAGTATTGCGATTCTACTTCAAATTCGCAGCAGAATTGTTTATATAAACAAGCTCCCATAACCGTATTCAGTGTTGATATCTGTATAAACAAAATACTTGTATTTATCAAGCAAAGACTTCCTTCAATCTGATGGTTTTTATTTTTTACAAAGCAAAGAAAAAGAATATGTTACTAGACATACGGACACATAATCACTAACTGGATGTAATAATTAAATTTAATTTGAGTTCGAAATTCGAAGAATTACCGAAGTTATGGAAAATCGTAAATAGCGGGGGACTGGGTGATGCACCGAAAAAAAACTCAAACTCGTACTTTCTCGGGTTTAGGAGAATCTGAATACAAAGTTTGGTTAATCTAGCTTTTATACTTTCTGAGTTGCGTGCGTTCATACAGACAGACGGACGGACGGACAGACGAACATGGCTACATCGACTCGTCTTGTCATCGTAATCAAGCATGTGCCGCCCATCGTTCTGTGTGCTTTACCCTTCGGGTATGGGTTATAAAAATTACTTATAGAGTGTATAATAATAATAATAATTTAAATAACAGAAGAAATATATGTTATTGGAACCAGGGAGGAAGATATATTATAGCTAGCCTTTTAAGCGATCAAATCTATGCATCAGATTTTATTTATCAGTCTGTGTCAGCACTGTAGTTTTTTCAATTGACTTCTAATATTTCCACACATTTTTTCGCTACGTGGAGCAATTTAGAAACCTATAGGCTGATACGAATCAAAGTCAAGGCCTGCAGCTCACCCGTCGTAGTTGACTGATAACAGGCCTTAAGTTCTCAGCTCGCCCAAAAGCAAGCAGCTGATTTCAATTATATTGAACATATTGTTAATCAGACATTGTAACACACTTTTAGGCGATCGTTTGGTGGCACAGGGTGCTGATGTCTACGCCTATCCGGCGCGTAAGGATGTGAGCCTCCAGCTGACGTATCCCGAAGCTGGTGTGGGTGCCATTGTCACATACGTGGAGGTCATCTGTACACAGGACAGCAGCGACGGCAATGCTTTCGTTGTGGCCGGCGGCATTGGACAGCGTTTCATTTCCATTGTCCTGGAGGCCAGTCAGACCGAGAACTTCTCCTACCAGGCCCAATACTATGGCAGCGACTAGATCGCCCATTAAATAGCTAACTAATGTACCTACATATCGATTGTTTTTTTTGTGTGAATAGTCTAAATACGAACTACCTTATTAAATATATATGTACATATTAATATGCGAAGCACTGTCAAAGTTTCATGACGCCAATATATACGAAGTATAGTGTATGGCTTGTGAGCTGCACGCCCACATGATCAACAAAGAAGTTCACGCGCACAGCACTCGAAGCACAATTTGAAGCAGGCACATAAATCTATTTAATCCCCTTAAATGGCGAATCACAGATACGGCGCCAATACCACCACCTCCAAGGGTAATGCCCACGCCAACTATCTATCGAATAACTCAGTTGAGGAACAGTATACTTGTATAGCATGGATTGCCAATCAATTTATTTAATAGCTACTAAATTCTGATTAGGATATTCATAAATCAGTGAATAGTTCGGCATGGCAGTGCTTTTAATGTTGCTATTAGTAATTGCAGAAACATAGAATAGTAGAAGTGCGATCAAACAGAAGATTTGATGCGAAAAGTCCTTCCCACAGGAGCAAGCTTGGAAAGCTCTAGACATGATTATCAAAAATATACTCATATATGCTCTGTGGGGCTTAACTGGGTGTTAAAATAAAATTACCCCAAAGCATTAAACAGTTCATTAGTTGATTGCGAATAAATGTATTTCGCAGAAGGAGGTCTGGTTATACCCATAGAGTATAATATACAAGTATATCACCCACCTGTACAAATGCAAGGACTCTCAGGTAAAAGATCTACTTGTAAAATCATCAAGTTTTGCGTACACGTTCTCCCTAGTCCAAGAAAGGTTCGGCTCCTGTTTTTTCTTTCCGTTATCAGTGTTTCTTCATACAAGTAGCTCCCGAAAGTAGCTCCCGAATTGCCTTTGCAGTATAGTCGAGGCATCCATATGTACTGAAGACGATACCGGGAAGGCTGAATTACTACAGAGCAGTACTCCTTGAGCTCGAAACCTTGTTCTGATCAAGTTGATGGTCTGGGATCAGTTGTTCCTATTATTCTGTTATTGGTAGCATTCGAAAAAATTATATTAAATAGAATTAAAAAGATTTCATTCAAGGTTTGCTCTTCTCGTCAGCCAGTTTTTAATGAAGTTATGCGAAAAATGCCAAAAAATATAAATATTTAAGCTTCAGGAATGAAGCGTGGTTATTCTGTTTATTCAAAGAAATATTTACTATAGTTAATGTCCATGAATATGATTTCAAATATTCTATAGTTTTCGTGCAGAATACAATTTAATTAAAAGATATTTAGCATATCTGTTAAAACTCTCCCATTTTCTGGAGCCCTATTTTAACTTACAAAGAAACATTTACACAAACATTTTATTTCTACAAAATGTTATTATAAGATCGTCCGTTGGATGTGAATAATTTCTAAAAGATTCAATATTTAGGAACATATGTTCTGAAAGTTTATATACGGTATGCACGAATAGATTCTAATATTCTTTGAAAATGTTTGAAAACAAGAAAGGAATGCTAAAGTCGAGCAGGCTCAACTCTTAAATACCCTGTACCACCCCACAAAAAAGTAAATTAAATTAATTAAATTAAATTAATTAATTAATTTAATTTAATTAATTAACTAAATTAATTGAATTAATTCACTAAATTAAATATAAAATATTCCATGCATGCATAGATACATTTACATTTACATCAGAATCGTGCCTTATGCGTGTTTATGTACTTGTACATATGTATGTGTGCATTGGGCCTGGTTATATGGCTATAACTTTCTTTCCGATCATTCTATCATAATGAAACTTGGTATACAGATATATAATTACTAACCTAATGTGACTACCAAAATCAAATCAAAATTCCAAGAATTACGGGAGTTATAGAAAATCGTTAATAGGGGGGGAGTGGGGGGGTGGATCAGAAAAAATGAACAAACTCGTCCTTTCTCGGTCTCAGTAGAATCTGTATACCAAGTTTGGTTATTCTAGCTCTTATACTTTCGGAGATCCTTGCGTTCATACAGACAGACAGACGGACAGACAGACGGACATGGCTATATCGACTCGGCTTGTCATGCTGATCAAGAATATATATACTTTGTGGGGTCTACCAAGCCTCCTTCTGTGTGTTCCATGTGCACTCGCACAAAACTAATATACCCTTGTACCCTTTGGGTACAGGGTATAAAAACTGTACTTATAATATGAAAGACGGAACCCAGCTAGTTAATTGACGGCCATTCTTGATGATCTTGAGTTCTGGATGCAAACGTTTTTGAAATCGACGTGTTTTATAGAAGAAACTTCTCGGCTAAATAGATATAAAGAATGTTCTTGGTATTGCCAAAATAATGGGAATGATTAAAAATATAAAAATAATTGCAAGCACTCGTGTTGGTATCGCCTGAGAGATTAAAACGTTCACATTGTTTTTTGCGTGTGCTATAACTTATAACTCAGTGTATCAAGGCTAAGGTGGGGGGGAAAAAAAACTAAAGCAGCTACACACCCATTTTTTCAAAGTGGCAAACATTTAATCAGCGTTATTTATTGATCGGCAAATTGCAATAGGATATGGAGAAATGAAGGCCTATTGAGGCCTACAAGAATTGCATAGAGATTGAAAAGCAATACTTGTTTATAATGCGATCGCATTCGCCGAATAATTATAAAATATTACATAATTTGTTTGCTTATATTCAGTTATAATATATGGGAGCAGCAGCGTTATTTATTGATCGGCAAATTGCAATAGGATATGGCGAAATGAACGCCTATTGAGGCCTACAAGAATTGCATAGAGATTGAAAAGCAATACTTGTTTATAATGCGATCGCATTCGCCGAATAATTATAAAATATTACATAATTTGTTTGCTTATATTCAGTTATAATATATGGGAGCATGGAGCTTAGATTTTGCATATCGAGCGGCTGTCATCGGCCGATTTCGTAGACGATCTGCAATTAGTTTATTAATTCCGCAGCTTTAAATGAGGTGATGGAGAGTTCGCAAATCATATTTAAAGTGCATTCAATTTGGTATTTGGAACTAAATGTTTAAATAGTGCGTGGCACTCAAGGGCGTGGGCAGGGGCAGAGTGGGTCCGTTGCCCCCCCTACAAAAAATTTTTCCTTATAAAGTCCACCACACGTTCATTATTATGACTTATTGGATTTATTGAAGTTTTTTCATTGATCATATGCATAAATTAATTTTTAAATGCATCGTGCATTATTTAATCAAAATTTTAATTTTTTGGCCCCCCCTTTTGGTAAAAGCTACGTCCTTGCGTGCACTCGAAATAAATAATAATATTGAGTGGATCCACCCGTAAAATATTATAAACGATTAAAATATACTGTTCTTTATTCATTAATTTATTTTCTATTTTTCTAAAAACATAACACTATTCTTTGATAAAATTTAAAATCAACCTACTTAACCATTTTTGTTTTTAATTTAGAGTTTAATGGATTTTGTTGTTCTTCAGACATTTTAAATTGTTACATATTTTTAAAGAACAATCATGAATAAAGAACAGCCAAGCTGGTGATGTATATTATTTATATTGTTGGGTATTTCGAAGGCACTCAAGCCTAATTTTTCATATACTTAGATAGCTCGGAGCACTTGTATTTACGATTTTATGCCACATTATTACATCTCTAGAGTTTACCTAGCATCTGGATATGGGCTCCCCATATCTGGCTATATTATTGTATACTGAATTTAGTTTCTGATGAGAAGCACTATCACAATTTCCCTAACAATGTGTTTTTTATATAGCAACTATATACTACTATTTGATTTGATAGGAGCTACCTTTAAGAATTTACCGGAATTTGTGGTTATTAGCATGCATGGGAAATGAAGGAACGAAGTTGGAAGTTGGAGTTGCATTACAGATTTTAAAGTAAGACAGGAACAGAGAATGCGTGAGTCGAGCAGGCTCTAGTCCTGCATAAATATAGTACGTTATACCCACTATATCCATTCTTGATCAGGATGGCAAGTTGAGTCGCTAGAGCCATGTCCGTCTGTCAGTTTAGGAGTTAGAAGAACCAAACGTGGTACCCAGATTTTCCTGACCCCGAGAATGTATGTATGAATGTGTTTTTCATAACTCCCGTAATTCGAAAAATTATTATTATGTTATAGACGGAGTCAGGCCTCCTAAGTAGTATATCCATTTACGTCTTGGGTACTTTGGAACCACTTCATCTTGACAACTAGCTGTAGTTCTTTCCGAAAAGTACTTGAAATAACGCCATTGTCGGCATTGAAGTCTACAAGTATTGTGACACACTTACGCCTATATGTCTATACATATAGATTCTTGTAGATACCATGATACATACTACTGTTTTCCAGAAAACAACAGACTACAAAACAATACAAGGAACTCCGACTAAAAGTTAAGCAAATAATTTGAAGTGGGCGTCCGAGGCGGAAGTAAAAAGCCAACTGAAAAACAAATACTGGGAGTTTACGTATGCATGTATATGTATAATGTAGATAATGTGCCAGATGTTGTAGTACGAGTATATATAATTCATCGGATGGATTATGCATGTGCTAACTGATTTGTTGCAGAGCAACGGCTTTACATGAAATGACGCTCGAAATTAAATTTAGGATAAAAGCGGCACATTCTTGAATTTTTGATTCTGCTATCACATTCTTTTCGAACGTATTTACCCATTTGGCAAGTTTTATCTTAATGGCACAACTCGAAGTGAAGGTTTAACCGGAAATGCCGATGCTCTGCACATACATAGCTGACGAAGTGCGCAAAAAACTCAGTGAAAAACAATTTGGAAAGCTAATCTCGGTATTTATGTGTAGAAAATGTTGATGAATTAAAAAAATCAAAATTAAAAATTGTCAAAATAAGATGTGACTTTGAACATTTTTGTGAAGCAAATCCAAAGCGCAAATAAATATATATGTAGTATTATAATAATACTATTATTCACAAATTTAATTATGCGACTATAAAATACAAATGCGATGTTTATGATATTTTGACTTCAATCAGCGAAATTATAAATTAGAACAACAGAAAAAACCCGATCTTATTTAATGTTTAAAACGATATAAAGCTATCTTTGTCTGCGCCAAAGCTATATACCCTAAACGTACATACAAAAGCAGTAATCTTTCATAATCATCGGCCATATACTGTGTCTATATACGATATAGATTTTCATAGGATAACAACACATGCTTAATGTGTTGCCAATATTTTAATAAATGAATATATGTATTGGTGGGTGGAAAAGTCTTCTTAATCGTACAAGTCCTTTCTGGAGTAGCTATATGATGTAGTTATCGGACTAGAAACAATGTACTCTACACTCTTCAGTGAAGGGTCGCAAGAAAGTACTTTGTTGGGAAAATTGAAAGCACCAGCCAAAATAAAATTATAAAAATAGAATTTTATTAAAATTTCAAGTTACCTGTAGGAACACAAGAACCTATGTCAAGTGTACTTATGGTTTTTGGACAATTCCACAATTTAGGTGACTAATTCCAGATCTTTATCCAGTACTTCCAATCAAAGCGTTAGTGCTGCCTTTGCGACGCAGGTACGCTAAAAATTGATCAATATTTTCGCACAAATGGGGTAAATGGCGTCACAAAAATTTCCTCAGGTTTGATAAATTTGTTTGATAAACTGGCCACACGCCGGCAACCTGACATGTCTGGCAATTGAAAAAAATGGCAATTGCAGTAAGTAGTTGCGATTGCAATCGTACCCTGATTGATGAACAACAAGTTGGCTACAAAAATGGCGAACAGGTATATGGTACTTGAAGTCGGCATTGCCTTCGTGGGTGTTATTGTCTGGGTATTAAGGTATGTATGTCTAATACAAAAATAAATGTGTTCAATTAGCACTCGAGTGGCCTATTTTTAGCGCTGACAAAAACCTAATTATGGCCGATTAAAGGCCACAAGCCATTCGAAAATAATACAGAACACTTCCACAGCTAGCATGTAAGCCACAAAATGCTTATCAAAGAGCGCAGAACAAATAACAATTTGATGGTTGATTGCGCTCTGCTATATCTATGTATATACTTGTAGTATGTATGTGGAGATACACTCTAACATGTTTGTGTGTAAAGCTCTATTTACAATATTTCGATCGTATTTGTTTTCTCATCAGATTTACAATCAGATCGACGGATTGCAGATTGTTGCTAAGCGTATTTATTACAAGAAAACACCAAATTTTTCGCAATTTTACCGAATTTTGCAAATACTGTATGTCACCGTTTTATGATATTCTTTCTAATCTAAAACGAATCACTATTCTATAAAATAAGTGAAATATTTTTTAAAGAGTTTCCTTAACGTTATCCTCATTGCTTTGCTAGCTTTCCTGTCTTGTATGTTTGGCTTACAGCATGACAGCTTTATCTTTTTACCTTTTTGTGTTAGAGACTGCATTCTTTGTCGAAGAGCCGTTTTCGGTTAAACTTAGTTGATGGCTTTATTCAAGAACATTTTCTTTTTTCGAGCAGCAATTCTTATTTTAAAATAATGCGAGAAACTGTCAATTATTGGGACTTAAAAAATACCGCGTACTTCATTCACAATTTTTTTTTTTAAATTTTTGTTTTGTGTGGAAACGCGGACAAAAAAGTGATTTAAATATTTAAATAAAATGCAGTCGGTTAAGTTCAGTTAAATAAATAAAATTAAGTGGTGTGGAGTTTAAATAATCTGCTTCAAAGCGGTTAGTAATAGAGCTGCAAAAAGAATCGATTCGGAATCGATGTTTAATATTTTTGCTGAGAATCGATTTGTTTTTGGAGAATCGATTTGCTTATTTATTTATAAGCTTTATACTTGCCCCACAGCTGGTCATAACATAATTATTTCTAATTTAATTAAATTTTTTTGACATTTTGTTTTTTTTTTTAATTAGCTTTAATTATTTTTTTCTTTTATTTGTATCATATTTCAAATTTTAAATTAATCGTATAAAGTCGAATGCATACTTGAATAATGATCTCATCGAAAACGACAATAAAATGTAGCCCATTTTATTTTGCCGCTCTATATAGGAAATAGAAAAGGTCAGTATTTGGACCTGACAATCCGAAATATTACCAAGTATATCGAATGGAGCCCATGAGAGCTTAACCCCACTAACTCCCACCTTTCTTAACGGGTTAATATGCCTTATCACCTGCTACAGGGCATTCAATTTGTGTTTATCAAAGAGGCAGGCGTAAAAGGGAGAGTGACAGAGTGAGAGAGATGGATAGAGAGAGTGGCGCGAGAGTGTGGCGCGCGCCCAGATATAATCGGCGGTCAGCATTGATAACTGAGCCGTATAAAAGGCGTGTGCAGAGGTGCAAGTGCACAAGTGCTGAGCACCCGGCAAGTCAACAACTTGGATAATACCGCGTATATTGGTTTTTTTTTTCAAATCTTTTATTTTTGTTCTGTGAAAGAATGGCGTTCAAAGTTTGTTTGAGTTGCATTTTTGCGTCTCTGCTGAGTGTCTGTGTCGTCGCTCAGCCGGCTGCACGTGCCGTAGACTTGGCGTATACGGAAATTACACCCGTGACCGATGCGACGCGTTACACGGCGCTCAACCCGAACGTGCAGCTCACGGCATTCACAAAGGTGAAGCACGTGAAGGGGAATATTGTGTTTAGCGCCGGCGAACGGATTACTGGTGAGGATGGCCAAGGGAATGAACGAGCCAGTTTTTAATGCCAGCTCTTATTTTTAGGTGATCATCTTATGTTCAATCACTATGATGATAAAACCTTCACCAAACTCACAGACATCGAGGTTCAAATGACCTACCCGGCTAGTGGCAATACTGGACTTACCCTAACCGCCATCGAGATCTATGTGGACCTGTCTGCAGACGATGCCAATGCCTATTTCATAGACGGCGGCATCGACCAGAAGTACGCCAAAATATTGCTCACTTGCGACCAGACGCGTACGTTCGTCTACGAGACCTTCTTCTATGGCTACTAGCTAGGCAGTAAACACTCCATAAAGTGAAACAACTACAGCAATAAAACTCAAGGAGCTGAAAGCTCAAAACGCAATCAATGCCACCAAAATCAAACTCAACTGTGATCCAAAAAATAGAGCATTTCTATTGATTATTAATATTTTTTTTTTCGTTTGTTTTTTGTTGTGTAAGGAATTTAGTTTGAAATTAAATGTGCAAAAAGAAGAAAACAAATTTGCTTCTATGCTAAACAATATTTGTGCAATATTTTTGGCTTATCGAGTGGAAATTTTGATTTTAATATTACAGTTGTATTGTTTATGGGGGCTCCGCTTATCGTGCAAAAATTAATTGCTTGATTGTTTGATGATTTGCCCCATTTTGAAACTACGCCATTGCCATTGATGTTAACGTCGATGTTAATGTTAATGGAGTCTTTAGCAAGAGACTTGTGGCACAACAGACAGATAAGGCCGTCGCAGATGTACGACAGTTGTCTGTTGGTTGCATAATGTGGGTTATATAAGAGCCTTCCCTTCGATCAAAATTATTCATATACTTGTACATATGGAAGTGAATTTCTTGATATTCCATTCCGATCCCGCGATCTCAGCACAATGAGAGAGAAACGTCTCTCTTTTTGCGCATACAAGTATGTAGATCTTGTACATTTGATTACAAACAGTTGGTCGACTCTATATTCTAAACGTACCGCTCTCTGGTTATCAATGCCCGAACAACTGAGAAGACAAAGGTCAAGATTCTACACTTTCCAGTTCAAATTTCTAATACCCTGACACTGGTAAAGTGCTCAGTTACATTACTTGATGAGCACAATATCATTGGCATCCCTGAAATGCTGTATTAGGAAATCTCTATCCAATGGGCCATTCACAGATAAAGTTGTATACATACGTGTGTCTGGCTATGGAAAAAAAAGTTAAGAAAATACTTTCATTTCGGAGAATAGAATCACACTTATCATATCATTATTTACCAACCAAACTAAGTATTTAACTTTACGCATTATGTTTATTGGTCTAGCTTCAAGCTGTCACAAAAATTTGTTTGGTTGCGTCAATTCGCGGCTATACTTGTATATTATAGTATTCTAAACAGAAATTTGTTGTTTGAGTATGTTTTGTTAAAGCTCACAGACACAGATAGACAAAGTCGAAATACAATTCTGGTGCAGGACAATTTATATATTTTCGACAGACGGACGAACGGATCAAGATTACTTATTCCGTTGAAGATGCTTTTATCTGGCTGTTACATGCTGCGCACAAACGTAGTATTTGTCAGTTTATAGTATACCAGTATATAGTATATACTATACTAGAGCTGCAAAGGAATCGATTAAATACCGATTTTATCGATCCTTAGCATTTTTTTTTAAATCAACATGTTTTTTGAGATTCGATGAGTCGCAAAAAGTCAAATGCTTAATTTTTCATAGTTAATAATGCATGATCTCATTGAATTTTTTTTTTTTTTTTTTTTTTTATGGTTGAGTCATACTCAGGAAACGAACTCACATTATGGGATTCCTGCTGGCTCGTTGAGATATGCCAGGCCCCATAGAAAATGGCAATAAAATTTAGTGATTATTGTGCAACGCAATCGGCTTGCAGATTTGGCCATAACACGACAGTTTGATATTTTTTTCATATGCGATTACTTTTACAGAATTTTTAAAATTTTACTTTTTTTAAATCATGATTTATCCGATGGTAGCGCTGTTATTCGAACCGACTCATCATATACTACAGCACTAGTTAATATACTCTAATATACCTGTTCTATAAAAGTAAAAAAATGTATGGCAGAGCGACGATCATTGGATAAAGAGGTTCTGCCTCTAGTCTACGCGCTTGACCGCTGAACTAAATGGTAATGTTTTTGTAAAACATATAACATGTACTATGTTTAATAAATTAGGTCAACAGTTGAACTTGATTTTTTAAAGATAATCATTACAAATATCAAGGGCGTAGGCAATCAAGGGCGTAGGCACGTCTACACAAAATTTTGTTAAGTAATTTTTTAAATGCATCGTGCATTATTTAATCAAAATTTTAATTTGTTGGCCCCCCCTTTGGTAAAAGCTGCCTACGCCCTTGCACGCAATTATCACGCTCCGAATTTGTACTTTAATTTTGGAATTACAAAGAATATAAAACCTTTTTCTTCGGAAATAATTATTCGTATTGCGTTATACTTGTATTTCTTAAAATTTTAATGAATCGCAAGGAAGAGAGCGGTCGATTGCCCGTTACCGGCTGCGAGTATAATTACAACTCAGTTGTAGGCAAGATTTCAGCCATAATAGACGTGTTTAATAATTCACAGGGGCTTGCTATTACTCTTATCAGTGAAGCAAAAACAAAAAGAAAAAAAAATGGGTCGCCCAATGATTCAATATTTTTTGGATCTACTGCTCCTTTGCATCGGCGCCAACGCTATGCACTTACGAGGTGAGCGAATACAACTACAATAATAATAATAAGTGGTTTTTAATAACAAAAAAGGAACATATTTTCCAGAGGGTCGAGATTGTGGTGACCTATTTGCGATTAATAGCACCTGCCTGCCTGCCAGCAGGTGCAAGGACCGACTATATGCGTACTTTGAACAGAAAATACTGACACAGTCAATGGTGGTGCAATGTGGCATGAATGTTTTCGAAGAGCTTATCTGCTGCCCCAGCAGCCCGCCTAACGATCCGTAAGAAGAATAAATTCTAATACCTTGTTTTTTGAGTTAATGCCTCATAATGTTTGTTTTAGCAATACTGTCCTAGGAGTCGAAATACCACACTACTCAACCACGTCCACACCCATAGCCAGAACGAGGCCAATTAGCCCAATAAAGTCTCTGAACAATGTGCAGCCCATAGTACATGCAGAGGCTGTTCGGGTAAATATAGGAGATCTGATGGCTCCCGATGAAAGTTACAAGCATTTGGCAGCCGTCGGCTATCATGATGAGCACTACGATGGTTTCGTGTATAGGTGCACGGCTGTCATACTGACAACCAATATTTTGGTCGTCTCAGCAAAATGTATAGGCACTGGTCGCGATTTACCAATACAAGTTGTGGTTGGAAAGGCGGATTTGGGGCGAGGGCCAATACGCAATAATGTAATAAGGATCAAGGTAGGATTTGTCATGCGAATCCATTGGATCGTGCAAATCTCAGCCAGATTATAATTGTAGACACGACGCAGTTGGTTTAATGAAACCGGCATCCTGGTGCTTGAAAAACATATCGAGGCGAGTCAGTTGGCGGGCGTGGCAGAAATTTGCAGCGCACGGGAACTTCAACGAAGTCCGCGAATGCGCTCTATCGGCTGGGGCTTTTCAAAAGGTAAGTACTGAGTTGGTATGAAATGAAATGTTAGAGGGGACTTTCAACTTTGTTAGTTATGGGAAACATATTTCTTTAATTATTCATTTGAAAATTAATAGCAAATAATACTGTCATTTTGTATAACAAAGAAAAGGAAAACTTATAACATAAAAAAGGGAAAAAACAGAATTTAATATTAAACAAAAAAGGAATGCTAAAGTCGAGCAGGCTCAACTCTTAAAAACCGGTGAAATTAAATTAATTTAATTAATTAAAAATATCAGAAAAAATGAACAAACTCGTCCTTTCTCGGGCTCAGGAGAATCTAGATACCAAGTTTGGTTATTCTAGCTCTTCTACTTTCTGAGATCCTTGAGTTCATACAGACAGGCAGACGGACATGGCTATATCGACTCGGCTTGTCATCCTGATCAAGAATATATATATATATATATATATATATATATATATATATATATATATATATATATATATATACTTTGTGGGGTCTGCCAAACCTCCTTCTGTGTGTTCCATGTACACTCGCACAAAACTAATATGCCCTTTTACCCTTTGAGTACAGGGTATAAAAATGTATTAATGTAGTACTAATCTTAAAGGGGTATTTTAGTCGCCGAAATAGGCCGCTGTGGCCGACTCACAGCGAGTGAAGTGTATTTAATGATGATTAGTTAAGTATAAGGAGATGCTACTGCTTAAGTTATTAGGAGAAATTAAATGGTAGAGTTCACTATAATTTGAACACAGAACACGGAAAGGAGACTAAAGTGCCAAATTTAAGGTACAACACTCAAGATGTAGAGGCCGAAAATTTCTTGAAGGTCTACAAGGAACTACAAAGCTTATACGATGAATAAAGTTGCTTGAAGAGATTTCTCCCGTCAGTAGCTTGTAAATAAAAACGATACCATGTAAATATTTATTGTACGTTTGCTTTCTCCACTGAATAAGCTGGATAATTTCGAAGTATATGAAGGTACACGTATATCGATTGCATCCTTTGTACTGCAGGGAAAATCTTGTCATTTCTCGTAAACCTTTTTAGATTAAGGTCTCGCAATATATTCATGTGTGTCCGAATGTGTGAATCGTAATCGTAATTGTAATTGTTGTTCTATTCTTTTCTATGACTAATGTTTTTATTATTGTTTAGCAATTGTTTTAATAGGCGGACCTACATTTTATTACACATACCAAACATTTTGACTTTTTAGTGGGTATTTCATCTTAATATTTATTTAAAAGATATGTTAAATGAAGTTTAAATTGATTGCTTCAAGGCTTGAACAGCTGCAATATAGTCGACCAGTTGTACATGAACTAGCGTAAAAGATATCTCCAATAACTTCGGTATTTATTCATCAATTTCTGTTAATTTTTTGATTTTTTTTTTTAAATATGTAATAAAATTCTGTTTTTTTTTTAAGTTTTTATTAGCAATAACTATAATCGAACATTTATGATCGGATATATTTTATTTAATATGTGAACAGAACTAGATTGTTTGTAGTTTTGCATTCTTTTTGAAATTTCTAGATTAAAATTCGAATTCGATTTGCTGATAACCACTAAATGATATTTAAATCAATAAATTTTGAATTGGTTTCTTGGATAGTATCATACAATAACTGTTAATTGCACAAGCGCAATATATCCTTTAATTCCTTCGGGTACAGGCCATATGTAGAGACGTAATTGCGCCCTGAGAAATTATTTATAGCTTCATTCATATCTGTTGAAAACAACTCAATTCTTATACTACAAGTATGTCTTATACTATCATCAATTATATACATTTGTATTACATATATATGTATGTATGTGCATATATTTACCCGCTATCTCTTTAACTCTTCCAGTAAGGGAAACGAGATGCTCTCTGTTTGAGATGTCCATGCAGCAAATAGACAAAAGCTATTGCGCCGATCCCGCTAAAAAGGTGCCGATCTATCAACACCACTGCCTACAGCCCAATGAGACCTTGACTGTGCAGCGCGATGATGGTTGCTCCAAGTGCCTTAGTGGCACTGGAAGCGTGCTCCACGTGGAGCGTCCGGATAACAGTTTGTGCGTGGCTGCCATTGCCACGCCCAGCTCAGTGGACTGCAATGAGTCCACAGAGCCCCTATACTACACTGTGTTGAAAATGGCCCAACAAATGTACTTGGTTTTCATTATCAGCAAAGAATAAGTGGAACTTGCATACATTTACATAAAGAAAGATGGCCTAGACAAATAAATATGTATAAATAAATAAATATGTATAATAAATATAAAAGGCTGAGTCCATATTGACCAAACCCTCCTTACATCCAGTCAAGAAGAGATTATTATATTTCTTTGATTCTTCTCCTCTTCCCCGCTTCAGAATTCGGTCAATACTGCCCCCATTTCCGAAACGCCACAAATAAAACTTTGCAGACTCAGTTAATATATAATTCTTTCCGATTTCGTGCAATTCTAAAAACAGTTTTTTGCAAAACAATATCACTCCAATACTGTCCACAAACTAAAGCATCGCGTTCGCTATTGCTCTTCTTCATTTTTTGCTCCTGCTATCGGGTATTTATAAGCATATATGTAACTTCGGATAGAGGTTTTTATATTGATATCAGATCTTATAAGAGAGTGGGTAATGGAAAAAGCATTCGTACAATAAACTCCACTTCTATTTTAATTGTAATGCCTTGATTTTTCCTATTCAACTTACTTGTAGATATAGTTAGTGGGAGCTACAATTATTATTCCAAGAACCCAAAGGAAGAGGGAAAACGGAAATCTGGTTTTAATTGAAGTACTCTGAGGGAAAAAGTTAAGCAGAAACCCAGAATTTTTTTATATAACACCAAAAATTGTAGTTTTTACCCAGGGGGTACAAGTTTAGTGCGGTTGCATATATATCAATAATATATTGTTGATCAGTTTGACGAAACGAGCCGATATAGTTTGTCCGTATGAACGCAAATAACTCGGAAAGTTTAAGATCTATAATTATCAAACTTCGTATTTATATTCAAGTGTTTTTTTTATGTATGTACTTACGCCTATTTAAACAAGAGAGAACGCTACAGTCGAGCAAGAATCTGGATGCCAACTTTGGTTATTCTAGCTATTATAGTTTCTGAGATCCTTGCGTTCATCCAGACGGACGGACGGACGGACATGTCTAGATCGATTTCTCGCGTCATGCTGATTCAGAATATATGTATATACTTTAAGGGGTCGGAGATGCTTCCTTCTGTATGTTACATACTTTGCGCAAACCTAATATACCCTTTTTACCCTACAGGTGCCGCGTATAAAAAAAATACATTTTGCAAACTACAAGTAAATCAAATAAAACAGACCCACAAACCTACAAACTCACAGACTATTTGTTAAGAGTCAGAACATAAAGAATAAAGAATTAGCATATGTACGCAATTGTAATTTTTAAGCAGATAGTCAAGTTTTAAAAGCCGAATCGCGAAAAAATCCCGTTATGGTTCATTTATTCCAGATCTGAATACAAATCTTGAATTTATGCTACAAAATATGCTATACAAGTAATGGCATGCCCAAGGGCAAAAGGGGTTGACAAAAGTTAAGCTTGAAAATAAAAAAATTAACATATTACAAAGCGGTGGTAATATTTCCATATTTTTGTAAATTTCATGTATGGATTTGTAAATAGCACGCACAATTAAGAGGCGGGAACATGCTTCGATCCAGGCTCAGGCAACAGCCCACAATAAGCTTGCTATCGAGGAGATGCTGAGCATGAGTGTGCATGAGTCAGCAGCGATGAGGCTGCTCAGTGAGTGAGAAGAGAGACGACATCAGCGTCGTCAGCAGCTCAGTCGCACACGAGCAACGCGCCCGTGCAGTACGCGATTTCAGAGCCGGATCGCTGCGGCCACGTGACGCAGCATCGTCGCATATAGTCGCATGTCATTGTTGTTGCTATCGCCCAGATCTTTGGTATGCGTTGCTTGGGCTTGGCCCTGTTAGGCTCTAATGCCTGGATCGTGTGGACCGTATGGCTTATAGTGCTGTGCAGCAGTGCTGGCTGGTGTTACCTCAACTTGGAGAGTGGGTATAACTATTCATATCTACAAATCGATATATGTAGTTGTATATAGTATGTGATTTGGTTTTTCGCTCATTCAGTAGGGGATCCCTGCACAACAAGCTATCGCAGCAATTGCCAGCCAATTGAGTTATGCAGCACCCTGAAGGAGTATATACGCAATGGGAATCTAACTCCACAAACGGTCCAGACTTGTGGCTATACCATACGTAGCGAGAAGATTTGTTGTCCATTGCCGCAGCAGAAAAATCGTGCTGACACTGAAGTGACAAAAATACCCATTACAACAACAATAGCTCCAACCGTTCTACCTAGAACCCAGACTTCGAGCACAACAGCTAGTCCAGTGATCGGACGTCCCGACTGGTTTAATATCTTCAACACCAGCTTCGATTATGTGAACGGCGTTGAAAGGGCACAGTCCTCCACTCGACCACCACGTCAACCAGCACCAGCACCAGCACCAACATCAGTGCCATCGGGTCCAGCTTTACAAACCGGCTCGCCGGGTTTTTTGTTCCCCGGTCCGAGTAGCTTGCAATTAGGTGGTCCCTGTTATGCGCCACTATACGAGGGCATTTGCGTGGCCATCTCAAAATGCGAAAGTGTGGTGCAGTTGATAGATGAGAATCGCCTGCGGTCCGACGATGTGCCGAGTTGTCAGCGCGGCACCTACGAGGAGATCATCTGCTGTCCACCACTAATTCCCATTAAGCCTCGTGATCATTTCACACCCTCGGTGTCGTCCTCACAAGCACCACCACTAACTACTCTGCTGGGTATTCCGCCACGCGTGTCCGACTCCGAACTGACAGGCTCAACTAGCGGCTTCTACCCCCAGACGGTGCAAAAACCATCCTCGGCTCGGGCATTGTTGTCCCACTACACACATCTGGCGTCATTGGCTTATGCGAATGCTGCCTACGACGACTTTGTGCATCGTTGCACGGCGGTGGTTCTGACGCCACAGCTGCTCCTCACTGCAGTGAACTGTGCTCCACAAACTACAAAGCGTCCGAATCATGCTGTCTTCGGAGTGGCCGATTTGCGCGACAAGGATGAAGATGAGGACTATATGGTGGATATAGAGGTGAGCCTTTCGCTTCACAGATATATTTGAGGTTTTTGTGATGGTTCCAGAGCTGATATAGCCATCCCTAACACTCTGATTTAGTTGCCAACTATTCCTAAATATTCGCAATAACTTCACAAAACTGGATATGTCTTAAGTGAAAACATTCAGAAATTTGTATTCCCTGTATCCGTAGAGGAAAAGGGGTATATAGGTGTGTGCAGCCAGACCCCCTAAAGTAAACATAATCTTAATCAGCATGACGAGATATCTAGACCTGTCCGTCAATCTGTCTGTTTATCCGTCTGTATGAACGCCTGGATTTCAGAGACGGTTGAGCCCACATTAACCAAACTTCGTATGTAGTCTTTCCTAATATCCAGACAACACGAGTTTATCTTATTTTTTTATTCCTACCCCCATCCACCACTTGCGCGACTGTTGCATCCTCTCTAGTTTGATATTTCGGACGCGTCAGTATCGCACAAAATGTACGAAATTTTAAAAGCTACACCTCCTTTAATTTTGTATAGTACTTATAGCTGTTTTGAAGTACCCTTTGCTGTGGTTAAATCAAAAATAGTTAGTTCGCCAAAAAGGGTAAAAGAATGCAATTTAATGCAGACTTCTACTACGGTCAAACAGGCAAACAATTTGCACGGGAATTTATCAAGTTATTCAAGTAGGCCAGATTAGAAGCAGTAGGAAATACGTATTCTAAACTTATTATAGCAATTGAACTAATTAATGAAATCAGAAATGAGATTCTTTTAAAATAAAATTGCAATCAAACTATTTATCCCTCTGGCTTAAGTAGCTTAAGAACTGGTACTAAAAAATATAAATATTCTGTGGGATCATTCCTATTTAAAATCTCAATCCAGATGTATCATATTTTAGGTATATATGTATATGGTAGTCAACAAATATTAGTTTGCAAGATGCTGACAAATCCAGCTTATCATATACATAAGTACGTGATATCTCAAACCATATTTTGGTTTCGTGCTTTAGTTACCTCTGTTCTCCATATTTCTGTGCTGTAGAAAATTGTGTGGCATCGCAATGTCCTGGCACTTTTGCAATTGAGGAATCCATTGCTGCTGGGCAGGGAGCGCCTGCCGGCGAATGTCAGTGTGGCCCCAATATGCTCGCACTATGAGTACACGCGTCTACTCTTCAAGAGCCAATTGGTAGCCAGCGCCTGGGCGACCTCCAATTGTAAGTATTGATTTAACTTTAAATTAGTTAAATACTTGTATATTATTATCTCGAATTTGCTTTTCTCAGCCTCAGACTGCGCTCTCTACGAGCAGCCGATGCGTTTGATGCTTTCCAATGCCTGCTCGTCGGTCAGAAATGCGGATGACGAGCGGGGCACTCCACCGGGTCGCTTCTGCGTAGCACCCATTAGGGCGGAGAGTGGTCTCGCTAATGGTGCTACTGATACTGCCGACAATTGCACTCAGTGTCTGGGGCATGTGGGCAGTGTGTTGCATATGCTGCGAGCCGATGGCACACGTTGCGTCCTGGGAGTGGCGTCGCCCGCTCCTGCTGACTGCGATGAGCAGCCTATGTATTATACAAGTGTCCTGGACGACCAGTTTGCTCAGTTCATGCAGCAGGCATTGCAGCAAACACAACAACAGCAGCAGCCATAAAAAATAGTTATAGTTAATAAGCTAGGCTAAATTTAATTAAGTCAGTACTATAGTACACTAGGCGGCATAAGTTTTGTGAATATATGTGATCACTAGGTTAATAAAATATAACTCCAATTATACCATAAGATATTCTCAATAAGGATATAAGGACTAGTTTGTTTGCCTAAATGAAAGCATTTAGGCTGCAGCTACTCCTTATCAAAAGCTGGACCAATATTATATCCCTAAATTGTCGCTTTGTTGATCCGTCGTTCTGTTCCGTCATCTCCTCAAATTTTGCTTTCAAAGTGGTATTGTATATTGTTCGACCTACATAGTATATATTTGTAAACATTTTTGATCGAATCGGTTTTTTTTACAAAAATGTTATTACAGACATTAGTGCGTTCATCTTCATCTTTCCCAATCGTATTTAGGATTAACCATGAAAGCTAATGTGTAATATTTATTTTGGAAAAAGGTGCCACGAAAATATTAGACACCAAGAACATATTAGATATGATTAATAATCTAGCACTAAAAAATCGATATATCATATTATCAATTGATTTTCCTTATATTTTTGACTAAATTATTCAAAATAGTAAATGGTTTATATCGGTGTAAAGGCAACTAACAATTCGTTGCATATTTCATTAATAAAAGAAGCCTTTTATCTTTCATTTCACTCTTCTTTCTCTAACACTAACTAAACTGCTGAAGCATGTACAACTATTTATTCTGACTAGTGTATGAGTAGACATGAACGTGCATGAAGGCTGGACATCAAATGTTTCAATACACTTACATATATTGGAAAGATGTTTATTCTAGTATGGTGTACATGGATGGATTCTCTATTTATTACGCATATGAATGTAATATAGTTATGAAGTAGACTTATTGCATTTAAATACAATCTTAAATGTTTTAGACGCCAGCTACTAATGGTGAGTTCTTGTGTTAAACAATGATGCCGTGTTTTATTATAAATTGCAACATTAATATTAATAATATCACACACATATGGCACATATGAACTACAATAATATTATTAAATTAAAAAAATTTAATTAATTTGTTGGACTTAGAGTTTAAGGAGACAGGTACTTTATTTCTGTAACCCGTCCACATACTTGCTGGGTGCAGTGTAGGAGTTAATTAAATACTTGTAGCTGCTGAATTGGTACATCAATGTATTGCTTTGGGTAAAACCTCCGATTTACACAACAGTTTTGTTGTGTATTTCCCTTCTGGTTTCGACGGAGGATGATTCATCCATATACGAGTACGAGAATGTACATACTTGTATGTATGTATTGCGATGTTTTGCATGCATACATAATATAGTATATAGCGCTCTCTGGGCTGTTTGCTTTTGTTCCGTGGTCTGGCCTCTGACTGAATCGATTGGATTGAATCGACTCGCAGGCTTTGTTTATGTTGTTTACCTAATAAATAAGCGGCGTGACCGGCCAACTCTGCGACTAAGCCAACCTTACAATGCCAATGCCTGCTTCGAAGCTGCTGCTAAAAATACTAAAAAACCGGTTGAGTTGGTATCACACCGCATAGTTATCAACTAAAGCGGCAACAACAACGAGCCGAACTCCGTTCTAATCACATAGCCTCCATATTATCTCGGGCTAGGGCTTTTGCCGGTCAAGCTCAGTTGCTGCAGTGGCGCGTTTCTGTACAATTTAGGTATTTTCCGCCAATTTGGCCACTTTTTGGTCAGCTTTAGAGTTATAGCTTTTTTTTATGGAAGTTCAAGTGCCTTCTAGCAATATTTGTCTATTTTTTAAATTAACAAAACAAAAATTAAAGTAATAATGGCTGACGGGGATAACTAAAATATTGTTTAAGTTTTGCTGCAGCATCAACATCTTATCCGACCTTCATGGCCAAAGATCTGGTAACTGGGGAAGACCCGGGCAGGCATGTGCGATCGATAGATGGTTTATACCAAGTCGATTTAGTTGCATATTTTTATTTTATTTTTTCCCCTTTAACTATATATTAAGGAACGTTTGTTTACCTTTTTTAAACGGATTATGAAAATAAATAAAGTTCCTACTACTTTTACTACTACTACGTTTTATTTTATTTGAAGGGAGTCCAAATGGAATTACAAATATTCTATCAAGAGTGCAGCCAGATCGCATTGCTATATTATTGTAGTAGTCATTTGAATAATGTCTCATCCTTTTGTTAATAAAGGTATCCAATAAATTTCTTTCAAGAAAAATGAAACAGAAGAGTTGAAAGAAAATAGTTTTTAAAATAAATTGAAAACAAAACATAGGCATTTTTATCTAAATTCTATCTTATGCTTTTTTTAGTTGCTGATCTGGCTTTATTTGACGCACAGAATTGCCAACACTGATGTATAAAAGAAGAGATAAGAAGAGAGCACGCGTCACACACAAAGCGTACCAAGCAAGGCAGTGAGTAGACTAGAGAGTGAGAGAAGAGAGAGAGAGAGTAGCGGGCAGCTAGAGCTAACTGGTAGCTGTTGCGCTGTTCCGTTCGTTGGCCAATCGGCTACCCCGTCTGTCAACTCAGTTCAGCTCCGCAAAACTAAGCTAAATCGTCAAGCCAGCAGTTCAGATGTGTAGTTCGGTTTCAAGTCCAGGCACCGGTTTTTAATGCCATTTTAATGCCTTTTTTGTTTGTTTGTTATATTTTTTTCTGTGCTCTCGTATATAATTTTTATTATATTTCTTTTTGTTCAAGTGCAGCATTTGTTTCAATCAATAGAAGTGCTATCGATGAATAATTTATATATACGAGTATATTGAAATCATAAGAAACAAGTGTGAAAAAGGTGCGTTCCTTTAATTAATATATAATACATATAATATATACATATAATAACCAAATGCAAATAGTTATCAGTTCCGTGTGTATGTGTGAACTAATACCTCTAGTGCAAGAAGTTTAGTGAACTTTTCAAAAACTAGATACCTAGTATGTTAATATGCAGTGTACGTGTATCTCTATAGGAGTGTTGACCATCAAGCCAGCTGATTTAAAATAAGCAATCACAATAAGATGTATAATTAGTTATATGAATCTTTCAAATTTATGACGACTTTGATTGCTTTTTATGAATTTGTTTCCATTATATTTAAAAATGAAAGCTGACAGTAAAAAGAGAACATGTCCCCACTGGCATTTAAAGAGTTAACCAAAACAATTAATAGTGCATTCGTGTTATTCGCGAATGAAATTGAAACTTTTAACCAACACAATCCGGTTCTGTTTTTCGATTCTACTTTCGATTGCACTAAAATGTTTCGCTGAAAACGTTCGATAACAATATTAAATAAATTATCGTATTTTATGCCGTGAAAAAGGGAATATACGCTTGAAGCTTAAAACCAAAGCTATGTATTATTTTCAATGTTGCTATTGCCCTTACAGTAAGCAAATGACCTGGTAAAATTCTTAAAAAATTGTTTTCAATGTGCATTTCAAATATATTTAGAAAACACATTTCCCTTCTACTAATTTCATTTAAAATAGTTTATATATGCAGTACTTTTTAATGTTATTCAAAACAGTAAAGTGGAAAAGTTTTTTATATTGATATAGAATTATGATTATCACGAGACACGATTATATTGACTTTCTGATTTTGCCACAATTCAGTATTAAATCATCTCGAATGCTAGATCTATGTCCTGCTGTTCAATAAATATAATATTCTTAAAGTAGGGAAAATATGAAAATAAAATTAAGCCCAAACGGTGATTTTTAATGAAATGTTACTTGCAGGATATAGTTATCTACTTTAGTTAGTTTACTTAGCTATTTTAGTAAAAATATTAATCAATGACTAAGGAGTTATACAGAAGGACTTTAATTTTGATTATTTTTTTCTTTTGTGATCTTTTTCCGTATGACTTCAATTTTTAATGGAAATTCTTTAAACTATAGAATCTATAAGTTTGATCTACAAGTTATTGCAGATATGTACATACTAAACAGCAACCAATTTTTCATGTTAATAGCCATTTTTTTGCGGGTTATTGGATTTTACTATATGTACTCCTTAGTCTTATCAGGACGGATCTGAGACAAAGAAGCGAGAGAACTGTAGCAATGATAACAGTTCGGCATTTAGGTGCGCTCCAAGATAAGCTATGTGGAAGGTCATATTCAAGTTAGATCGACCGTAGAATACACCCTGAGATTGCTGGGGCTAGTGTGAGAGCAAATATAAGACGAACAATGAAAACAGCTACTGCAAGTTAATGGGTCGTACTGGAGTCATATCACTTCTGTAGTTTTTCATAACATGGCCCATCTGACTTAAGCTTTCGAATATTATTGGCTATATCAACAAATATTCCTATCCAAAATAACAAGAAATTTTTTCGGGCAAATCCGAGTATATATTGCAAGCCAACACACATATAATTTGGTAAGTATGGTAAGAAATCTTAAGCTTAAAGTCGTATAAGATATAGAAGTCCCAGCTTGCCTATATTGCAGAAACAATTCCCAGACAGGCGGACTCGTCTTACCTTACACTTAGACTCAACATTTTTCACACAAGCCTTTTATGTAGGGTGTGTAAGCAGTTCAAATGTTTTTGAAAATTTACTTCCATTCCCTGCTATTAGTGATTTTCCATTGCTCCGGTAATTCTTGGAATTTTATTAAAATTTCGTTAATTGTTTTTATTCGATTTCTTTTTTTAGAAGTTATATAATTGTTTTGTCCATATGAAAGTACAGGGCGTATTAAAGTCGGGGATATGGACTTTTGCTTTTCTACTTGATTTTAACATCACCTTAAAACTGGCTCTTTCAACAGTCTTCTGCTGTGTGTATTACTGGATTTTCGCCAGTTTGGGGTCTTTAACATGACGTCAGTCAGACAACAATAACAGGGTCACTAAGCAGACGTTGATACATATTTCCACGAAATGTATACACATAATTCTGTATGTGTATGTATGCGCCTTTTTATTGATATATAGGTCAATCGCAAGTTCATTATTATCAGCAATATTGTTGGATGAGAAACACACAGCTCAAAAATGGAGCAAAATAAAAATGAGTTCAATGGCGACCGACAATTATTTATAGAAATCTTTAAAAAGACTTTAAAACTCTAAATATTTATAAAAATAATAACAATAAACACGAATGTAGGTTAACCAACAGTTTAGAAAAAGGTACAAGTCACGCAAATATGAACAAAAAGGGAATGCTAGAGTCAAGCGGGCTCAACTCTTAAATACCCTGTACCGAATCCACGAAAAAAAATTTAAGAAAAAATATAAAAAAATACTTTAAAAACAAATTTATTTAATGAATTAAATTGAATATAAAATAGTCAACACATACAGAGGTGGTCAAAAGTATTTACACAACAGACACATTTTTACATATTACATTATCCAACTATTTTGTTGATGTCGTTGGAAGTTTGTTCCGAAAAAAATACTGTTTCTTATAGTTCGATATAATATAATATAAAAAAATATATAATATAAAAATAGTTCGATATAATGTCAAAAGTATTTACAAACATTTTATTTGCGTCAAAAGAAAATATATGTACAATTAAAAACTTGCGTTTTTTATAGCCTGTACCCAAAGGGTGAAAGGCTATACTAGTTTTGTGCGCATGTATGTAACCCACAGAAGGAGGCGTGGCAGACTCCACAAAGTATATATATTCTTGATCAGGATGAGAAGCCGAGTGGATATAGCCTTGTCCGTCCGTCCGTCTGTCTGTCCGTCTGGTCTCAGAAAGTATAAGAGCTAGAATAACCAAACTTGGTTTCCATATTATCCTAAGACCGAGAAAGTACGAGTTTGAGTTTTTTTTCGATGCAGCCCCCCACTCCCCCGCAATTCGTGTTTTTTCTTATAACTTCCGTAATTCTCGGAATTTTGAAATCAATTTTGGTAGGTACATCCATTCATCATGATAGGTCAATTCTGAAGAAAGTTATAGCCATAAGTAAAATCGCTGCTCATGCGCTGCCTGCAGCTCTGTCGGCAGCGCTGCCTGCAGCTGTTGTTGTTGTTGCTGCTTTTGTTCAACTTTGTGCTGCATACATACACGCATATAAACACGCATAGGTACGTGATGTAAATGTATGCTGTTAAAACTGAACATAATCATGTATTCTAATTTAATTAAATTAATTAATTAATTCATTCAGTTTTTTTAATAATTTAATTTTTTTTTTTAATTTTTCTTTTTTGTGGAGAGTACAGGCTATTTTACTGTCGGGCTTGCTCGACTGTAGCGTTCTATCTTGTTTTTTATTAGCTTTGTGTAATTGCTATTGTTAGTTTTTGTCGTAGTTTTAGCAAATTTTGAGGCATTTATATTTCAGAAACTACTTAGAAAAATGGTGAAAACTAAGAAATTACGCGTTGAAGCTCGATCAATTTCGATTTATTTAATTTAGTTTAAAAAAAAGGATATGCTCGGAAATTTTGAAAATTTAAAAAGAACCGGGCGGAATCCTGAATCCTGAACCAATTAGAATCGTGTCTATGAGTGTTTCTGTACATGTATGTATGCAGTACAGAATGAAGTCAACGCAGCAACAACAACAGCTGCTGGCAGAGCTTAGAAGGAGGCGTGGCAGACCCCACAAAGTATATATATCCTTCATCAGGGTGTCCGTCTGTCCGTTCGTCTGTCTGTATGAGCGCAAGGATCTCAGCAAGTACAAGAGAAATGAAGAGAGAGAAATCGATATAGATATCTCCGTATGTCTGTTTGTTTGCATGAACGCCTATATTTCGGAGACCAAATCGAGTATATTTTATTTTATTTATTTTTTTTTTTTTTTGATTATTTCCTCTTCTCTACTATATAACTTTGTCAATACTGTCGCTCTTCCTCTTTTTTGCTTCTGATGGTTAAGTTGATCTAAAACTTAGGAGTGGCAAAAACAATTTAATTTATTTTTGTTTGCAATCGAAATGATTAAAAATATTAAATATTATGGTAAGGCTATATCGGGCAAAAGCTGGGTAAAGGGTATTTGAAGGTCAATCTGGCACAGCTTTGAAGTACGACTTGTTTAATTGTATGTTACAATTATACATTTTGATACGATCTACATAAATGCGTTATTAATTGTTAAATTTTTCCCTTATTTCGTGTGCAAAAATGGGTTGATAATTGTTAAATATTTCCCTTATTTCGTGTGCCATAGCCCCTCGTATTACAAGCTAGAGCGCTAATTGTAAATGGACCAACAGGTAAAAAGTAGATAGAAAGTAGAAGAGGAATACGCATACATTTATAAACAGTCAGGTTAAATATACATTATATTTTGACAAACCATATTTTTACCAATTACAAGCTTGGGTTTGAGTCGAGAAGAATATTGATCAAATTCTGCAGCGGAATATGGGGACGATTCGAGTCTTCAACCAATAGATAGTCTCGTCTCTCCAAGTTGTGCAGAGATATAAGTATTATGTATATATGGGTATACTTTATGGAGTTGAAGACATTGCTGCTTTCACACTGGTACACACTGCAAAAATCCCATACAAACAAACCTTTCCAAAGTTCCAAAGGGCGAATAATAAGGAAATAAAATATTGTTAAATTTTAAAAATTATACAGCTTGAGTCGATTTTATGCAAATAATTTGGGAAATTTCTTATATCCGAAGCCATTTTTTATTTGAAATGTAGACATTTTTTTGTTCCCCCAGAGCTCCACAGATATTACCAGTTGCAACACCAAGTTTGTAATTAATCCCACTTTCACTGCAAATAAGTAAATATTTGCTCTAAGCTTAGTTGATTTTAAACATTAGAATGTTTGTCAACTAAATCGATTCCCAATTACTGTTTGATCATTCATTTAACAAACTACTAAAAATGTTTATACTTGTAAGTTAATTATAGTTGTTTGAATAACAAAATTCAAATTGTGTTTAGCTTTTGTTCCCCTGCCATGTTGAGTTGAGGGCAGGAAGAGAATTGGGAATGTTTGAGCAATTTCCAAATCCAACTTTCGAGCAGGGACAACTCGCTGTTCGAAATAAATGTATGGGTATGAATAGGGGTTTCTCGTTTCGTGTTTCAATTATTTTACTAAAAAAGAAAATACAGAAACATGTCTTTATATATAATTCGTTGAAATGTGGAAGTGAATTGTGCCTATGTTTTTCTAATTACTCGTACTAGCATTGTCAAGAATACCTCAAAGAAATAATAATCGGCTTCGTCGTTTCTAGTAGATTGTGCTTTTTAGTTGTCAGCACTGTCGCGGGATTATCTCTGACATACTAACCACATGCTATGTGTATATACATATGTAATTAACCTAATTTTTACTGCAAGGGAAAATTACAAATAGAATAAATATTGATAAGAAACTACAGCATAAAAGCTCTGCTCCAAAACTCATGCCATTTTTTATGTCGTTCAACAGCGCAAACAAAAAAGAATAATTGCAAATATAGAACAGAATCTGCTGGAAAAATGCAACTCCACTGTCGACCACACTCTTGGAGGCGAAAAAATTCAACGACAATAACTACAACAAGGAGCTGGTCATTTGCTCTGCTGTCATGTGGCCTTATTTTTGTAGCACTCCCCAAACCCTCGGCCTCTACAGGTAAGACCGATCATGTGAGTACAGCACATCAAGTCAAGGGCTTTTTTATTTTGCATATATAGAGGGTGATACTTGTCGGATTGATAAGCTGAATATGAATGGACGCTGTACAGCGTCGAACATGTGCGAGTCTATCATTGACGATTACTTCAGGGCCGGAAAACTGACGTCTAGAGATGTGCCTAGCTGTGGTTTCTCCGCTCGCGAGGAGATTGTCTGCTGTCCAACTGTCAAGTGTTGTCCCGATGACAGGAGCGGGTAAGCAGCAATTGAATACTCTCCCTGGGGTCAAACCATGTCATTCTACATAGTCCTAAAAATGCATGTGTCCTTCATCGTTGAATTTAAAATGACATTGATCGGCTAAATAGAATGCAATTCGTGTGCTTATTTTTGTCCAATATTGTAATGCGAAAACAATTTCTTCTAGAGGAGAGATCATTTCAAAATTCTTCGCTTTAGGTGATAAGAATTTGAAAAAAATTGTTTTCTAAAAAGCTTGCATCTTTTGCTGTTAGAATAAGGTGGTAACGATTAAGAAAAAATACACACTGGTGCCTGCGCCTAACTGAATGATAGATATATGTATAGGAGTAGTAAGTAGTAGTTTTTGGGCAAACGAAATGTTCCTTTAAAGAATCTAACGCCCAACGAGCCACTGAGAGCAGCTTAAAATGTAAGATGCTGGTTATGCGGCAGCGCGCTGTTAGCTTCAGGGGCTGTTAGCAGCGGCTGTCGCTAACAGCTGTTAGATAACAGAGCGCGCGTCGGCAGCTTCTCTCTCTTCTCTCTAAGCCAAACATAAAGAAAATATGTAATTTAGTCTAAAAAGAAACGTGAAAAATACATGTACTGAAGTAAAGAAGTCAAAGTCACAATTTTCAAACCTTTGCGACGGCCCCCTCCATCTGAAGAGATGTCATAAGAGATTTTAAAGAGAATTACAAGAAAAACACCTAATAAGGGTGCCAGTAATTATACTAGGCAGTGCATGGTTTAACGAAATCAATCGATGGTGCTGAACAACAATGTCATCAATTGTTTTGTTGCACCTTTAATACAAGTATCTAAAGAGGAGCTCGACTTAAGATAAGGCTACATGGGCGCATTCAAGAGGGTACGTGAAGAATTCTTATTCCCACTGATGGGACTGATGATTAAACTTTGAATGAATTTGAATACTCAATGATTTTAAGATATCTTGAATAGCCCTCATAATATGTGCAGCACATACCTTGCAGCTGGCTATAAAAGATTATAGCCAACACGTGGGTTTTCTTAATTTAATAGACAAAGCACGGAAAATGGTTGAATTCGTTAATTCCATTGGGGCAGTTGTGTATTTAATAAGAAATGAAAAATAGTTTATGTTGAAATACTTAGATAATTATAGATAGCCCAAAACCAGTTGATATAAACCTAAATATAATGCTGCATTGGTAAGAAAAACCGTTTCATTACTCAATTAATATAAACCAGTTCTTATAATGCTGCGCTGGGAACAGTTCAACTACCCAAATTTATAGGAAGTGGAAAGTGTTGTGCACTCTGTTCCTGCATTACATTATCAGATCTGAGTTACAGCTTCACGCCGGACTCAGCAGAAGTTCCTTTTTGTAAAATTAAATAAATACCACAAATAGTATGAATATTGATTACAAATTGAAAAATTAACTAAATAACTTTTTTTGTAATGGAAAATATTTCCATTTGGAACTATATATTTTAGCTCTAAATAGACTAAGAATATACAGATACATACTTACATACTTGTATATAAAAGTTGCACTTATATGATTATATATGATCACACATTCCCTGAACATTATGAAATAAGTATGTACAAGTATGTGTAATAAATATAAGTCTGTACCAACTAAGACTGCTCTGTTTGTTATTATCCTTTCTGTTGTTTTCGTTCAAAACGTTGCATGGTAGCTCAAGACATGTTCCATCAAAAACGTGCGTTTAATGTTCGGAATTTTCGACTTTCCTTCAGCATCAGTCATGAACAAATGACGACACCCATAAGAAGTACTACGAGTAGAATGTTTTCTACTCCAGTCGAAAGGGCAACTACCACCACAACAACAAGTACACCGAGAACCCCAAGCATTAAATTGAACAAGGATGTGGAGTTTTTTGATTTTACTAAATTGATTGGCAGAGCTCAGAATCAAACCGATATCCTGTCAGTGCCCAGCAATGGAAATAACGAAAATGCAAACACAAATCCCAACAATGATAATCGCAGACAAACACATGAAGCCCTGAGAGGAGCTCGCTTGGAAGACCCCCAGACGAGGCCTGGCTTAGAACTGAATAATGTGGAGGCAACTGGCAGTCGACCAGAACCATTTCAAAGCATCGGACCCTTCGGTCAGACGTCACAGCAATTTGCTGGGCCTGGTAATGGCCACTCCAGAGGTCGAGGTTGGGAGCAACCACCGCCCATGCGGCCTCAGCCGCCAGGTAGGTCACAACCGCAGATACCGTCCTGGTGGCCCCAACAGCCGCAACCTCAGCCACTACAACGGCCTCTGCGGCCTGAACCGCCGCGCCAACCAGTCATATGGTCCCAGCCCGTTCAACAACAACAACAAGAACAGCAGCAACAGCAGCAACAACAGAACTCCAACAATTGGTCGAATCGACAAGAAGCGCCTGACCGATGGCCCAGTCCTGTTCAATCAGAAAACCTCAATGATAATCCTATTAGGCGTGTTAATGAACAATTGCGCCAGCAAGGCATGAATATTGTGGAGGCCAAGCAGTGGACAGCGTTTGATGTTGAAAGTACAACAACAACAAGCACAACAACAACAACAACAACAACTATCAGACCACCCGTATATGAGTTTGAAGATGTCTTCGCACCATTTACATTTAGGGAGCCCATCGATGAAATCACAAACAATGAGTTGGACAATGGCCAAGATTTTGGGAAAAGGTGTTTATAGGCTACTTATCTCTAGGTTTCTTTACAAAAAAAAAAAGAAACAAAATTGTCTTAGTTACGAGTTAGATGACTTGATGGATATATTTATTAAGAGCTCTCATTTATTCCCACCTCTATTTGTGTTCCTCTTTGTATAGCGATTCAATTGTATCAACGACAACGCCCAAGTCAGAAAGTCGAAATCCTGAGAGACCAGCAGTGACAGGTGAGCCAAAAGACCATGCTGATTAGCAATATATATAAATATATATTCATATATATTATAAGGTACATACATATAGTTTATGGAGTCTAATCTCATTTACCCCTTTTTACCGTTCAGGTATACAAATGAATTAAAAACTAAAAATAAAACTAAAAAAAAGACATAGCTTCGTTGACTTAATATTGAAATTCTGCAAAAACTGAATTAACTGAATAAACTAAACCTAAAGCCTGCTGAAGGAATAATTGTGCAATAATATAATATCATAGTTAGACTTTTTATTTGAGTTCTCCACCATTACAATGCCTTCTAAAAGTTGTCATTATAAACATCACACAGCGTGCCAGAGGATCGAGGCAAGGGAGGAGATTGGACGCCAGATTAGCATGCACATTCTGGATGGTATACCTGTGGAGGAGGGGATCTATCCGCACATGGCGGCCATTGGTTTCAGGAGCTTCGGCACCGAGCAGTTCCGATGTGGTGGCTCACTGGTGGACAAGCGCTTCGTCCTGACTGCTGCACATTGTGTCAACGATGGTTCGCCTGAATTTGTGCGTCTGGGTACAGTCGATATCGAAAAAAAGGCGCCTGGCTATCAGGACATAGCGGTTAATGCAGTAAGTATGCATATTTATAGTTCTTACCCTGTACCTGTCACTAGAGTGATAGCTCAATAATGAAGATTTAAGTGTACATATCTCATTTCTTAAGTATACTACAATCTATGTAACCATGCCGTCACTCCGCCCTAGATCCTTTAAAACATTACAGTTACGAGAACCAATATTGTGTTAGTCCTAGGAAGGCTTCAATACGTATTACAACTTAATATAGAGATTCCTTGTTTATTAAGGTATACTTGTAGTTCTTCACTTAATTGTGACATTTCATCGAAGAATTTGATCAGGAATTTGATTTTTTTAAAGCGAACAAAATCGTCAAATTTTGTTTTAAATAAACAATATTTTTTAAGGATGATTTTTTAGCCCCAAACTTGACTATGCGGGTTCGTCTTATTTTCTACGAAAAAGACTAAATTACAGTTTTTGATAAAAAAAAAAAGAATAATCGTTATTTTGTGAGTTTTAGTTTTAGTTTCTGCTCTAAATAATGATTTTATTTAATTAATCATTATACTATAGTGAGAGAATAAATAAAATGGAAAAATAGTAATATTTTGTAATTTTAATAACACTTATAATGATTACAGTCGTAGGATTTATCATAAATTCTAACCGCATAAATATCGAAATATATATTATAATATTGGGCATTAATTTTTCTTTAAGATTTGCATCAATATTTATTTTTTTTATTTTGTGGTTTTTGGCTTAAGTAAAAGAGAAAATTAGTTAATTTGGTTAACCAATTAATATAATAAATATATTCATTAATGATATTCTTTATCGTTATATTTATGCTGAAAAAACTATAAACTTGCCAGTTCTTGTGTAACGTTCTTCGTAAATCTTAAAAATCAGATTTAAACTTAAGAGCTGGGAGGGAGGGGCGGCTGTTACAAGCTATCTGTATCTAAGGAAGGAATCTGGAGTGCAATATATTCTTTTTGATTTTCTAAACTGTCGATGCTTTTTGGCTGATGTTTTTGTTTCTGTAATTTATCAGTCAAAGATTGTCATACATCCGGATTATGTAAGTACCTCCAAATACCACGATATAGCGATACTGGAGCTGGAGTCCGACGCCATCTACACACCAAATGTCTATCCAGCGTGTCTGGAAACAACTCTACAGGATCCACCACCAACTGCCAATGTCTTTGTAGCTGGCTGGGGGGTTATGAATACGACAAGTGCGTAGCAACTAGTGGATTCTTTAAGAAAAAAGTTAAGATTTGAATTCATAATAATATTTTGTTATTATCACTATTTTTTGTTGGTTATGATTTTATAGCCAAGCTGCCGTCCAAGTTGCTGTTGCGTGCCCCACTGGACATCGTGCCCATCAAGAGCTGTAATGAGTCGTATGCGGCCCAGCCTCCTAGTCGGCGCCATTTGGCAGATGGAGTACAATATACCCAGCTTTGTGCGGCCGATTTGACGAAGCAAAAGGCAGATGCGTGTCAGGGCGACTCTGGGGGTCCACTGATCTGGGAGAGGAATGTACTGGATGGCCTGTATAGCATTGTGGGCATCATATCGGCAGGATTTGGCTGCAACAGCAACACGCCTGGTCTGTACACACGAGTTGCTGCCTATCTGGACTTTATAGAGAGTGTTGTTTGGCCGGACGCTCGGCGCTTGTGATCGAAATATGCTTTATATACATATTACATATGTACGAGTATGTTTATGTGCGTGTAATCTTATACTAGCTAATAAATCGTAAGGAAATGTGCATGCTTCTTTGTATTCTCAGCTATGGGGGAGCGATCTGCCAGCAACATGGTTTTTCAATTCTTTCACGAGAGCTCTTCTTTTTATAGCCTGTACCCAAAGGGTGAAAGGCTATACTAGTTTTGTGCGAATGTATGTAACACACAGAAGGAGGCGTGACAGACCCCCAAAGTATATATATTCTTGATCAGGGTGACAAGCCGAGTCGATTTAGCCATGTCCGCCTGTCCGTCCGTCTGTATGAGTGCAAGGATCTCAGAAGGTACAAGAGCTAGAATAACCAAACTTGGTATCCAGGTTCCCCTAAGCCCTAGGCAGGTCAAGTTTATTTTTTTTATTCTGATACACCCCCCCCACTCCCCCGAAATTCGTGTTTTTTTGTATAACTTCCGTAATTCTTGGAATTTTTAAATCAATTTTGGTAGTTACATCCAGTTAGTGCTTATGTGTCCGTATGTCATCATGATAGATCAATTCTGAAGAAAGTTATAGCCATAAATAAAATCGCTGCCCATGCTCTGCTTGCAGCGCTGCCCGCAGCTGTTATTGTTGTTGCTTATATATACACGTATATAAACAAACATAAACAAGAGATGTAAATGTAAAACTGTACATAAAGATGTCTTCTATGTATGTATTAAATACTTTTCTTAATTAATTTAATAAATTAATTAAATTTTTTTTAAATAGTTTAATGTTTTTTTAATATATTTTTTTTTTTAATTTTTCTTTTTTGTGGAGAGTACAGGCTGTTTTACTGTCGGACTTGCTCGACTGTTGCATTCTATCTTGTTTTATTTTAAATAGTTTGTACAATTGATAAGAATGGCTTCGAAATTTCAGCAATATTTTCTGATACTCGTATTAATATTATGTAAGCATATTGAACAAAAAGGTAATTTATTTATACTTAAAATAAACACATTTATGGAGCACTTTTTGTTTATAAGCCTTTTGTTAACCGATCTCAGAATATTTGCTGTTGCCTGATTCCCACAACACTGGTCCTCATGTTAGTTCTAAAATGCCGATATTTTTAAAGCCTAGTATTTGAATACAATTCGAAGGTAGTTGGTTTGGGAGTTAGGGGTTAGGACTTTAAAAGGGAAAGATACTTTGATACTTTGATTATACGAGTCTGTTTCTGCTGCATTGCAATTCACGTGCTGAACAAATTTTGTATTTTCCGTTACATGGATTAGTGGTATTTGTAGTTCAAAAGAAAAGAAGACAGTTGGCAGTCCCAATCACTGTCACTGTCACCTCTCGGCTCTCTTAATTTTGTTCTTTTTACACAATTTGTTCGTTGCGCGCATACTCTTTCTGTGGGACAAGGCACTGCCAGATGCATAGATGACTGCTCTGAGCTTTTGCCGTTACTGAGCTTTTGTGTTAACTTTCACAGCTGCTGGTTAACCGTTACAAAATGCCGGCAGATGTGTGCTGTGCTTTGTTTTGCTTGTGTGTTCTTTTGTTGCCCCCGCCCCCGCACCCGCCAACGACCACTCCACCTTTATCGGCGTGCCCCACTGTATAGTGTCCGTGGTCGAAGCCGCAACTGTTTCTTAAATGCTGTTGCTGGCGCGCAAGCTGCTTCAGTTGGTCGCGAGACTGCGTTGCCGTTGGTTCGTAGCTGGCAAGTAATACGCAGATAACACGAATTGCTGCCTTGCTGGGCAAACCAAAAAAAGGAAAAAAAAAATTGGGATATAAGGGACACATAGTTGCAGTTTTTTTCTGGTTTTTTTTTTTCCTCATTTACAAACACGTTCAGAGCCAACAAATTGGTTACATCGACAACAACAACAGCAACAAGAACTCAAGTTGCTTGGCGTGTCAGTGTGCAGTGCTTACTGTGAGTGTGTGCGTGTCAAAGTTGTTACGCCGCGCGGTATGCAACACGTTTTGCGCGCTCAATTCAAAAAATTATTGAAAAACGTTTCAAAAAGTTTGTCGCTTCGCTGCTCCTTCAGTTGCTTCTTCAGTTGCTCGATGTAAGTGCCATTTAAACAATTGATTCATGAACTAATAAAATCAGCGCTTGGTGGAAAAGTTGAACACATTATTGCTAGCTATTGTTTGCATTGCGCATTGCAGTAGTCTCTAAAAGGAAATAGCCGTTGCGTTATCAGTGAGAAGATACATTGACAATAGCAGCTGTGCCCTACACACACACACACACATTGGGAACTGGTGTATGGGAAATTGATTAGAATAGTGCATCTGGCTTGATGATGTGACATGATATGCCGTCGGTTTAGGGTTGAGCTAATATTAAAGGATTCCATTTTGAATTTTGTGTGTGTGTGTGTTTTTTTTTTAATGTCAATTTACTGTGAAGGCCTAGCCTCTGAAGCCAATGGTGACCCCCAAACAGGTGCATAGATTTCTGTCTGATAACGATAAAAAATGCACACGTGGGTGTATGCATATGCATATCACTCTGATAGGCAAAAAAATATACGAGCACGAACTATTGCCATCTGTGGCGGTAAATGCCAAATTTTCCTTCCCATTGCCTCCTAAAACTTTTCATGAAGTATTGATTGTGGCATTTATAGAAAGCGACAGCAACAGCAATAAATATATTTCACAAAGTTTTTGTAAGCGATTGCGTATTTTGCAGCAACAAATTAATTAGAACTCATGTTCGAAAAGTAAGAGAGAAGTCCTATTAAAATGTCCTTTCCAGATGATTAATTTTGAAATACGAGCAGCATTTGGAATATTTCAGTTCTTTGCACCCCAAATAACATATTGGCTTTGATTTTTGAATAAATAATGTAAGATACTTGTAATCACAGATAATCAGTTTTATTGATTTGGAGTTTAAAAAAATCTCGAAAATATGGAACTTTAATTTAAACTATATTTTGAAACAAACAACTTTATCTGAGGCATAAAAACTCTTTATGAAATAAATTAAAGAGCCTTAGGGGTTGGCACAGTCAGAGTCCCTCGAGATGAATTCAATAACAATTGCGATTATTTATATAAAGTGGTTGTACAAATTATAAACCAAAAATCAAAATTAAGTAAAGTGAGCAACTTCTTCGGGAGTATATACTCAATCATTAACTAGAATTAAATAATTATGTATTCACTTAAATAGTAATGACAGTTTCATGAAAAATTAAAAAAATTTTTTTACGTTTTTATTGAAGTTTTTAAAAGTGCGAATAAATGAAATTAAAATAATAGGACAACAAGTATTGTGCAACAGCTGCGGACAGAGCATGGTTATGGCCTTCTTTGTAGTTGGCCTATCATGATTAAGCTTGACATGACGACACACAAATATGTAAGTACCAATAGAATGTGATTGGATACAGAACTCTAAGAATTACGAGAGAAATTATGGTAAAACACTAAAAGGGTTCATTGAAAAAATAGCAGCAATTAGGATAACTATTGTGATGATTCTAAATGAAAATGGCTATATGGGCTCATCTTGCCAGACTGTTGAAGATTTTGAATACTTAGTGGGCGCTGCCACGCCTTCTTCTGGTTGCTACATATTTTTTTTTTTTAGCTTTTTGCAAGGCATGTAACACGCAGAAGAAAGCAACTCTGATCCCATAAACTTCAAAATTACAAGAATTATTAATAAGGATATGTATCAGAATTTAAACGAGGTATTTAAATTCTTCAATACCGTTGTCTAGATACTAGCAGCATAACTATAAGTACGTATTCCCCTAACTATTTGCTTGCGGGCTTTCATTTCTGTTCAAATTGTTCTTACATTTTTCAACTTAAATGTTTCTTATATACTCGTGTACTAAGTACAAGAAGCAAAAAGGAACCCCAGCTTGAATGATAAAGTCCCAAAAATTGGAAAGCACGTTTTCCAACCTTTTGTGGCAGGAGAAAAAGGGTGTTGCACAAATAAGGCTTGCATTGTCGCTACACACTAGTTTCTAGTTGATTCGATCGTTATATTATTCGAGAGAGAATTTACCGCTAGGTGAGAGGCAATTAGCCTGCAATCTCATCAATCTCACTGATTGAAAATATTATCTGATATCACAAAATTATGGGAACTCTTTACGATTTAGAAATCGAAATAGAAGCACGGTAGTAAGTGCAAAGAATTCCGAGGAACATTTTTTTTATTTGGTTCTTCTTCACAGGCTTCGTTATTATCAGCAGTGGCATAGGTTTATTTGGTATATAGTTCTATAGTTTCACAAGCTATCTTTCTCAATTTTGTCTGGGAAGAACGTTGGGGCTATAATAGCGCTTTTTTTTTTTTTTTAACAATTTCGACATATTTGATAGTATTGATCCCAAACGAATTCATTTAATTGAGTTGCTCTCTATGTTTAAAAGGTATATAATATGTACTAGAAGAAAGATATTACTTTCTGAAAGATTCGTTCGCAACACAGCTTGATCAGCAGTACCAGGCTTGATCGGGCTTAACAGAGCTTTAAGGTAAATTTCCGACTCAATGCCATGCACGATGATTTATCAGATATTGTATATTTTTTGGCATAGTAACGGTTTTTGTAACGAATTTACGTATATAGCGAACACACAAAGCGTTCATTTCTACTTGTATTTAGGAGACTGAACACTAGACTTTCTTACAGCTTCAGTTTCCCCAACACACAAAATATTGGAAAATTTTGGAAAGCTAAATGCTTTAAGCTTTACAGAAATCGGGAAATTCTCGACAAAGAAATTATTTGATAATTCCAATTAAAATTATGCGCAAAATCGGCAGAAATAATTAATTTAATTTACCACAAAAATAGCTCATCTACTATTTTGCCAGTGATGTTATCTAACATATAGTTTTTTAAGTGAACAATTGTTTGTTTAAATTTTGTAAATAACTAAACAATCGGATATTAAAAGGGTCTTCAATTTGCCCTTAGGTGAAGAGGGGAATTATACCTGAAGCATCTTGCTCGGATCCAAACGGGTGGAACAAAATCTTAAAAAAGTACAACAATTACAAAAGTAAATCAATTTGATTGACTCTTTAAATCAAAC